ACAGGTTGAGAACCACTGCCCTATACAATTTCAGAAAATTTGGCTGTCCAGTCTCTTCTTAAAAACTTCCATTATTGGAGCATCCACAACTTCTGGAGGCAAGTCGTTCCACTGATTAATTGTTCTCGCTGTCAGGAAATTTCTCCTTAGTTTTAGGTTGCTTGTCTCCTTGATTAGTTTCCATCTGTTGCTTCTTGTCCTGCTTCCAGGTGCTTAACTAATTAGTTAAGCCTAAACCATTCTTGAAACAAGTTGAACTAAATACAACCCCTTCAACTGCTCCACAGGCTGAGTTATGGTGTTAACCCTGCACATGATTCAAGGAATGTTTAAAGAAAACAGGTTTTGGGGGGAAAAATATCCACAAAAGTATGAAGATTAGGAGTTATTTCATGATTCTTCCACCACCACGTTGATGGAGGGTAAGCACAATAATATTCCAATGCTCATTTTAATTGGTTAATGAGCATTCCCCTATTTTCATAATTGGGAATACAGAAATGCCAAATCCCACCCAGTTCAGATTCTTTGCAGCAATCCGCAAGGACGAGATGTCTCATCTGAAAATATCTAGTACCCATATAATCAATATAAACATTGAAACTCTTGCTGGCATGTCATGCTATGGGTTGATAACTTTCCATGATGAGTTTTGATTTAGTAGGGCGGATGACAAATGAAAGCGAACGTGCATTATCTGTGTGTCAGATGTAAGCAAGAGGACTCTTGTCTTGCAAGTGAAAAAATTTAGGAGCTGCTGGTTTCAGACAATCGATAGCATTGCAGGTAGAGACTCCTGCAGGAGTGTGTAATCCAGAGGCCTTCAAACTTGGCCCTTTTACGACTTCTGGACTTCAACTCCCAGAATTCCTCAGCCAGGCATGTGTGTCTGGCTGAGGAATTCTGGGAGCTGAAGTCCACAAGTCATAAAAGGGCCAGGTTTGAAGGCCCCTGGTGTCCAATTCTCCATGAACATAAGCTCAAACCATCAATCCTTGTTCCTGGACATTTGAGGGTATGAGATATCAATCTTTTCTCCCTCACTTTAGGATAAGTCACATCCCCTTTCCTCAAATCATCTTCTTGGTGCTTTACCCATTCACAATTTCACAGTTTCACAATACAGGTAGTCCTCAACTTAACAACAGTTCTGACCGTTCGAAGTTAACACAGCACTGAAAAAAAGTGACTTATGATCATTTTTCTCACGACCGTTGCAGCCTCCCCCTGGATCACGTGATCAAAATTCAGACGCTTGGCGACTGACTCATGTTTATGACCGTCGCAGTGTTCTGGGGTCACGGGATCCCCTTTTGCAACCTTCTGACAAGCAGAGTCAAGGGGGAAGCCATATTCACTTAACACCCGTGTTACTAACCTAACGGTAGTGATTCACTTTACAACTGTGACAAAAAAGGTCATAAATTGGAGCAAAGTTCCCTTAACAGCTGTCTCACTTAGCAACATAAATGTTGGGCTCAGTTGTGGTCGTACGTCGAGGACTACTTGTAGTTTCGCAATCTTAGCAAGGTCAAGTTCGCAAGGCTTAAACTTAAATTAAAAAAACGCTTGCTCAGTAATGTGCTAAGCAGCCTCTCCCAAGTAAAACTGTCAGTACCACGACTTTGAAATGCATTGTGCCTAGCAACATAATGGAGGCCTGGCTATGTGTCATAAAAATAATCAGGGAGGGAAAGGCACACATTTTTGACTTAAGCTGTCATTGCATACGAGGCTATTTTCCTGCTCAGGCAGAAGTGAAAAAATAGTTACTTCCTGAATAACATTTTCCCCTTTGTAGGCAGCTTGGCTAGCTATCAAAAGACCCACTAGAGACACAACTGGCATGGGAAAAATGTTGAAAACATGGATTGTCACATTTTTCTCAGGTGGCCCATGCAATTATATTCCCACAGAACAGTGGTTCCCAACCTTTTCTATACCCCGTACGCCTAGAATGCTTCTGATATATTCTCGCACCCCTTACAAAAGTGCAAAACGAATTATGCACACACCTTGTCATTTTGAAACTTCTAAACCCAAGTTTTTGCACCCCCTGGAATATCGTCTCGCACCCCTGGTTGGGAACCCGTGCCGTAGAAGGACACTTTTCACCCTGCTCCATTCCTCAGTTCCATAGAACAGCCTGGAATCATCTAGAACAGCGTTTCTCAAGCTCAGCAGCTTTAAGATGTGTGGACTTCAACTCCCAGAATTCCCCAGTCACACCCCCAGACCCCGCCCGGAAAGAAAGAACAATGAAACTCTCAAGCAGCTTGGCTTATTCCTGCAGAATAGAAGGGGGAAATGGCTAAATCTCTTGTCCGTGTCAGGGATCGTCCAGTAAGTCCATAGGTCCCTTTGCAGGTAAATGTTTTTAAACGGCCTGTCCTTGCGGCATTTCATTTGCAGCCGGCCACAGAAGGATTTTAAAACCCATCTGGTTTTAAGGCCGTTTTTCTCTTTTCCTAACATAGTTTTTGCCATGGACAAGATCTAGGGCACCTCTTTAATCTTGTGTTTGGTTACTTCTTGGTTATTTTAGGGCAGGGGTCTTCAGACTTGGCTCTTTTCTGACTTGTGGACTTCAACTCCCAGAATTCCTCAGCCAGGCGTGCACGCCTGGCTGAGGAATTCTGGGAGTTGAAGTCCACAAGTCAGAAAAGGGCCAAGTTTGAAGACCCCTGCTTTAGGGATGCCACACACACATGTTTAGCTCTCTTCTGAAAACGGGATAGACTCACATTTTAAACATGGGTTTAAGCTTGCTTTCGAAGAGTCCTAGGCTGCACAGAAAGTCAATGTAAGCCAGAAAGAGGGTCAAGTTTTGCCAGCTGTGTGCGATTACAGATTTCTACTCCCGTCGGCAAGTTTTATGTGGTGATACTATTTTTATTTTATTTTTTTAACGGGGGGTGGTGGTGGCTGCCCCACTTTGCCTATCCTATGAACTACGTCTGGTTGCTTTAAGCCCTCGGCACTCACTGACTGCACGGTTATATTGCAGCACTCAATAGGTGTGAAGCCTATTTGGTATTGACTGGATTGGGCAGGGAGAGCTTCTCATCCTGTGCGCACCTCCTCTGTCCCTGTGGCCTGTCAGGAGGCGTTCTTGGTTCCTGCGGTTATCACACTTCCAAAAGAGCGTTAGACCCATGTTCAGAAAGTCATAGATGCAGAGGGACATCACATTTTAGTCAGGAAGCTAACCATCCAGTTCAAAGCACCCACCTGTGCTCGCCCAGAGTCCTCCCTTCGCCAATTAAGCCAAGGGATCTTTTTGAGAGAGAAATGAAGCCAGATGAACTGAATTTACCACGTTCCTTAATTGGTCCCCCATTAATTGTAAGGGCAGCTCCACTCACTTGCCTTGTTACTGAGGGTAGAATAAGAGAATAACAGAGTTGGAAGGGACCTTGGAGGTCTTCTAGTCCAACCCCCCCTGCTCAAGCAGGAGACCCTTTACCATTTTAGATTAACGGTTGTCCAATCTCTTCTGATGAACCTCCAGTGATGGAGCACCCACAGCTTCTGGAGGCAGGTTGTTCCACTGATTAATTGTTCAGTCAGGAAGTTTCTCCTTAGTTCTGGGTTGCTTCTCTCCTTGATTAGTTTCCATCCGTTGCTTCTTGTCCTGCCTTCAAGTGCTCTGGAGAATAGATTGATCCCCTCTTCTCTGTGGCAGCCCCTCAAATATTGGAAGACTACTAGATCTTGGCTGTTGGGTTAGTATGATCTATGCCAGTGATGGCGAACCTTTTAGAGACTGAGTGCCCAAACCACAACCCAAACCCCAGGGCTGCATCAGCATTGTGGTGCCCTCAGGGGGGCATGGGGGTGTGGCCCACCGGGTGGGCACAGCCCACTGGGTGGGTGTGGCTTCGGTTGTCACAGCAGACTGGGTGGGCGTGGCTGAGGTGGGTATGGCCACCTCGATGTTGCTCATGGGGGGGGGACACCTGTGGGAGCCAGGCAGGGTTGGGGGAGATTCAGGGCGTCTCTAGTGGGTGGGGCATTGGGCAGGAGGCCCAGCATAGATGGGGGGAGGCACACAATCCTAGCTGGGACTGGGGGGCCATGGCGCCAATGGGGATCCAGCTTTCCTTGCTCGGGGTGGCCTTTGGCTTGCTGGGTGTGGGCATGCTTTACCACCTCTACTCGAGCTTGCTAGCTGGCTACTCCTTTGTGCTGGGTGGGGCTGCCACTCCAGGTGGCAGCGGCCTAATGGGCCTGCGCAAGCTGCTGGCAGTGGCGGCGTGCATGCCCACAGAGAGGAGTCTGAGTGCCGCCTCTGGCACGTGTGCCATAGGTTCGTTCGCCACCACTGCTCTATGCCTTTGTACTTTATGGCCAGACTAAGAAACTAATGGAAGAAACACACTTGTTGTCTTTGCTTGTTGTGTTAAAAGGGGGCTGCAAAGCCTTCCAAGTAGCAGGTTTTTTTAAGATGCCTGAGGTTCAGAAGCAGGAAGAGATGTCAAGTGCTAACTTTTTGACATGGGCTCCAAAGCTCCAAAGTCTTCATCTCACAATCGTGCAACAGGAAAAACGTTGTTATGTGTCTCAGCAACATCACAGCTGAGTTGGAAGAAATTTGGCTCAGATTACCGACACCCACTGATGCTGTGGAATCACAGACATCTGGAGCTGCTTTCCAGCTGGCCCAGAACCCTCATATGGAAGTTCCCAAATTGTTTTGCCACTTCATTAATGGCTTGAAATAAAGCTCAATTACATCCTGTTTTCATCTAGATCAGGGTGTCAAATTGCCGGCCTGCGGGCCGGATGCATCATGGCGAAACTGCACCCATCCCATTGCCGGCAATGACGAAAAAGTCGTGATATGTTGCGACACGTCACGTGACGTTGCAAGTTGGACACCCCTGATCTAGATCCACTCTGAATGACAGCTGCCTCCATTTTTAAATCAATTCTCAACTCTGTGGGTTAGATTCACCAGGCATTCCCTGTGTCCTTTGCCTTTTCTCATCTAACTGCAGAAATTGAGAACCCTTCGTTTGATCCAAAGACCATGCCAGGGTTGTACTGCTTGCCTTCTTGGACTGCCCTTCCCCTACAGAGCTCATGTGTGAAGGCCTGTGCCAATGGCTATACCTTGGGCATCACTGCCAACCTTACTTACATCAATCTGGAGCAGCAACCTGTGGAAGGTGAGGGTTGTTGTTGTTTTTTTTAGAGTTCCAAAGCTATTTATTTTATTTTGGAAATTTTATATGGCCACCTACTCGCTCACAGTGATTCTACATGGCTTGCAGGAGATAAAAATGCAATGTAGGAGGAATAAAAATAATAAAATAATAACCTCCTCCTTGGTGACAGCACACACTCATGTCAGCCATTTAATGGGCTCCATCCCATTCTGAGTTCCCCAGACCTGCTGGCAAAACCACATCTTCAGGGCTTTCCGAAAGAGTGTCAGCGTGGGGGCCAGTCTAATTTCTGGAGGGATGATATTCCAGAGGGAGGGAGCCACCATGGGGAAGGCCCTTTTTCTGGGTCCCGCCAGGTGTACCTCCCTAGGGGACGGGACCCATAACATTTGTTGCCTCTCCGCTCTAGTGGGTTGGGTGGATGTGACCAGCAAGAGGCAACCCCTCAGATAACCTGGTCCCAAGTCATGAAGAGCTTTAAAGGTGACAATCAACACCTTACAAAACAATGTTATATAAGCATAGTTTATATGTTGCATTCCTGGTTTTAATGGACTGGGTACTGATTCTTCAGCTATTCCTGTAGGAGTAGGTAAATAACTTTAGTGCCAGGAACATAATATATAGCAAAAGTGGAGACTTATAGCAATAGGACTTAGATTTATATATCGCTCCATAGTGCTTTACAGCGCTCCCTGAGTAGTTTGCAGTGTCAGCATATTTGCCCCCAACCATCTCGGTCCTCATTTTACCGACCTCGGAAGGATAGAAGGCTGAATCAACCTTGAGACAGTCAGGATCAATCTGCTGGCAGTCAGCAGTTTTAGCCTGCAATACTGCATTCTAGCCACTGCGCCACCAGAGCTCTTTATAGGGTAGTTCACTACATGTAGCAGAAGTATGGTTTCCATCATCGTTCACTTTGGCCAAGCTGCTCATTAACAACATCAAACCTGATCTCTATCAACTTCCAACCTCCATAATTTCCATCCTGGATGCTCCCAAGAAGATATGCCTCCAGTGGAGGTCATTGGCTATCTCTTCAGTATTATTCACGATAAGAAGATATGTAAGATTAACGTGTGTCTCAACTCCGGCAACTTTAAGATGGGTGGACTTCAACTCTCAGAATTCTCTAGCCAGAATGGCTGGCTGGAGAATTCTGGGAGTTGCACTCTACCCAACTTAAAGAGGCCAAGGTTGAGAAATGCTGATGTTAAGGGGTGCACAATCAATTTATATTACCTGGTTTCTTTGGCACAGGAGTATTCATCTATCCCTTGGAGGAGACTGAAGTGGTCTCAAGCTTTGAAGCAAAGACAGGAAACAAGACCTCCACCTTCCAGATCCAGACCCGGCCTCCGGTGGATGATTGCTGCCTTGTCTGTAACATGAATTGCAACCAGCCACTCCGCTGCAGTAATGGTTGGTGGGGGTCATAGTGCCTAAGAGAGCTCTGTACCCAGGACTTCTAAAAAGAATAGTCAGATGGGGCTTGAACCTGGCTCTGGATGGACTCCCCAAAGCATTTTCTTGAAGTGGAAAGGTCCCGAAAGGTGACTTTTCTCCGTATAAAGAACGATAGGGTCCTGGTTCTAAGAGCACCAGATTTCAGCAATCCACTAGGGAGGCACAAGAGAGGGGATAGTGAGTTGTGAGCAAAGCACAAATCTCAATGCCTCCATGAACAGAAATCAACATGCATTGTTCTCTTAGTCAAAGCACACTTCTTAAGCACTGCATCTGTACCAACCTCTCTCAAATAGATTCCACAAAATTCCAGGATTCGTGAAAAGTCCTGGGGGCTCTGCAGGAAATTATGGTTGGGGAAAAAAAATAAACGTTCTTTTAAATTTTGCTTACCACAAAACATAAGCTGTAGGCACTGTTTACATTTGTTGAATGATGAGTGTAGTGTAGTGTAGTGTAATGTAGTGTGTGTAGACTAGACTGGACTAGGACTAGGACTAGGTTTAGAATAAGAATGGGAATGGAATTGGAATAGAATAGAACAGTGGTGGCGAACCTATGGCCTGGGTGCCAGAGGCGGCACTCAGAGCCCTCTCTATGGGCACGCACGCCGTTGCCCCAGTCCTAGACCTTCAGCTGGGTTTTATAAAACCTTTTCGCTTTAGGCCTCCGCTGCCATGTGCAAAAAAAAAAAAAGGTTCAGTCAATCAGTCAATTTCAACTTCTTGCGGGAAAAAAAAAGATCTTGCAAAGTTGGAATTGATTGATTGAACTTTTTAGTCCCACCCAGTCTACTGTTGCCACCGCAGCTACGCCCACCCAATGGGCCACACCCACCTAAAGGGCATGCCCAACCAATGGGCCATACCCACCCGGCACCCGATGATGCATAAGTGGGTTTTGGATTGCAGTTTGGGCACTCGTCTTTAAAAGGTTCGCCGTCACTGCATTAGAATAAGAATAGAATGGAGTATGGAATAGAATGGAATATAGAATATAGAATTTTATGCAGGTATTCCCTGAGATCTAAAGATTATTTCAAGAGTTCCTCCAGGGCAATGTTTCTCGACCTTGACAACTTTTAAGATGTCTGGACTTCAACTCCCAGAATTCCTGAGCCAGCCATGCTAAGGGGAAAGGGAGAGGTTTCCAAGCTGAGCCATGCTGGCTCAGGAATTCTGGGAGTTGAAGTCCACGAGTTATAAAAGAGCCGAGGTTGCCTACCCCTGCTCCCAGGGCAATGTTTCTTAACCTTGACAACTCTTAAGATGTCTGGACTTCAACTTCCAGAATTCAGTATCCTGAATGTCCCATAGGAGTGCCATGAGGCATAGTGATGATCCATTATGGGTGACTGAGTGGTTTATTCCTGTTGAGCAAGCTGAAGTTATTGCAAAGACTGTAGAAAGAATACAAGGCAGCAGATGGTTTTGGGGTTTGCATGCTCTGAGGAAGGTTAGAGCCATCCCAGAGGTTCAACCAAATCAGACAAATCTCATCAGAATTCTGGGAGTTGAAGTCCACAAGTCTTAAAGTTGCCAAGGTTGGAGACCCTTGATCTATGCTATAGGGCAGGGGTCTTCAAACTTGGCCCTTTTATGACTTGTGGACTTCAACTCCTAGAATTCCTCAATCAGCGTAGCTTAAGTCGTACTATAGGGCAAGGGTCTTCAAACTTCGTCCTTTTATGTACGCTGGCTGAGGAATTCTGGGGGTTGAAGTCCACAAGTCATAAAAGGGCCAAGTTTGAAGGCTCCTGCTAATAGGGGATGATAACATTGGTTTAAGTGACTCTGTGGAAAGACAGTTTTTTTAAAAACGGTATCCTCTCTGCTCAAAGGGATATTTACCCTCACTCTTTTTAACTATTCTAGGCAATGTTTTCAGTAAGATGAAATGACTTCAACAGCTGTATTAAAATCTCCGCCACTTTAATGGCCATGGTCAAATAAGGAGAGGAAGAAAGTGTACAACGATTCCCGTTTCCTCTATGCAGATCATAGAGAGTGGCTCTTTTTTCGATGCTGGATATTTGTTAACTACTTCCTCTCTTCTACCCAGGACATTTGATCCTTGATGGAGACCAGGCCCGGTCTACTTTCATCATCAGCACAGGCCTGATTGAGCCCTCAGCAACTCTGACTGTGTTCTTCACCAGCAGCCGGGAGCTGGCAACCCTGCCCAACGGTGGCATGCATGTCTTCTTCCCATCTGTACTCACGCCTTTAGTTGTAGCCGTGCCTGAAAGTGAAAGCGAAACGGGAAGCTTGTGTGACGACAGGTTGGGCCTATGGTGATTTTCATGGCTTTCGTGGTATTTGGAGACAAGTTGAAGGGCCTGTGAGGAATAAAAATTCAACTCCGAGGAGGTGGGAAGAGAAAGCAAGTTTTATTAAAGCTTTTGCAAAAGCAATGGAACTCTTGGTAACGGCAGATCCCAGAGTCCACACCAGAATAAGTTTCTGCATAGGTTTTTATACCCTGTCCCATGCTTCACACCACATCCTTCCAAAGGGAGCCCAGTTGATAGGGCCACCCAATCACATGCTTTCCGACCGCCTAGCAACCATTACAATTACCAGACCCTCCAGTTATTAGATCAAAAAATCCCCCTTTGTTCCTGTTTTATCTTCCTTTTTCTGCAGCATGATTTGTAACATCCTGCTAACTCAGAGTATAGCTTGTTTATGAGATGAATTTCCACCTATACTGAATAATTGCAATTATAAAGGATTTATGTCTTCCCTTGTTTATCTATAAGGATGCCTGCTTTGCATCTAGAAGCTATGTGTGTAAAAGAGTTCATGCTTCAGTTAAACATGGCTGCACTTTGGTAATAATAATAATAATAATAATAACAACAACAACAACAACAACAACAACGTTGGAAGGGATCATGGAGATCATCTAGTCCAACCCCCTGCTCAGGCAGGAAACCCTATACCATTTCAGACAAATGGCTGTCCAGTCTCTTTTTAAAAACTTCCAGGGTTGGAGCACCCACCTTCTAGCTTTGTAAGAGATGTCTGACCTTTATGTTACAACGGGTATATTTTCTTAATCTGCAGACTTGTTCTTAAATATTCTTGTTGCCTCGCCAAATTTCTATAAAATTTCATCATATGGTCAGGTTGACATGTTAAATATTGGTTATGTGAACCTTAACTCTAAAACACTGTAAAGAAAGCTTCCTGTAAAATCCCCCCCCCCCAGATAAATGTTATATGTAATGGTTTCAAGCCCAGATTTACTTCAGATAATACCTCTCCAGGTTTTTTTCCCTGTAATTTTCACAATATTGAAATCAACGTAAATGGGCAAGTATGGGGTTTAAACAATAAAACTCTTCTGTTGATATTCATTTTAAAAAGCCCTTCCTTCCTTCCTTCCCTCCTTCCTTCCTTCCTTCCTTCCTTCCTTATGTCATGGTTCCGACAGATGAAACTCCTGAAAAGAACTTAAAGGCATGGTTTACCTTAAAGAATCTTTTATTCGAGAAACAAAGTATCGGCACTACATAGTTGAAACCAAAGACTAAATTCCCCTCCCCTGGATACAAAGTAACAAAGCACAATTCTCTCCTCCAATACAGTCATAAATCACATTCCCCAATTAGCTTGAAGTGCGGGCTTTCTCCCCAGCTCTCCAGCCCGCCAAAACTCTATCAACTCTGGGCTCAATGACTTTGGGTTCCCACGGCTGAGTTATTATTGTTATGACTTGCTGGACTCTCATCCACATTTCCCCTCCCAGCATCAACTAACTATAGAAGCAATAGAGGAAAATGGCTGCATTTCCATCTGTTGTCAAAGCAAGAACAATCGATGTTAGCAGCATTGACACCTTTCTTTCTCCCACCCCGAGAAAAATAACTTCTGAAGAGGCCTAGAAATATGTCTTATCTCCTAACAATCATTTCTAAGTTTCACAGGACAAATGGGATGTGGTAGTCAGCAGTGTCGCTTTTTCTTCTGCTTCAGCTCCACGAGTTGTTTTGGCTCTGCTAGTCTGAAGAGTGACCCGTCTTTTTATACTCCTCCCAAGGAGCCTGACATCTTCAGAGGTGACGTTTACAATCCCTTCCCCTATGAGTTCAGCTTCGAGATGTTGGTTAATGGACCCTGTTTGCTGGCAGGTAGGAAATGTCGTTTGTTCTCCCCTGGTTCTTGGGACACATCTGCAAAAAGATTAGGAAAATGGTCAGCATTACCCTTAAGGATGTTGGTTCCTGGTGGTCTCCCGTCCAGATTTAACCAGGTCCAGTCCTGAATTTTAATCAGTGTATAGTGGTTCTCGACTTACAACAGTTCATTTAGTGGCAGTTCAAAGTCACAATACTAAAAAAAAGAGACTTAGAGCCATTTTTCTCACTCACAACCCTTGCAGCATCTCCATGGTCACATGATCAGACTCATATTTATAACGGTTGCAGTATCCCAGGGTCAAGTGATCACCTTTTGACTTTGCTTATCAGAAGGAATATTCCCTAGGAATATTCTTTGTTGGCCAAGCGTGATTAGAATTTGTCTCCGGTGCATCAGCTCTCAGTGTACCCACCATCAACAAAGTGGTAAGTCATAGATCATAAACCATATAATCACAAAATCATAAGATACAAACAACAAGTGATAAAAAGATACCCATAGGAGAAGGTAGTAGGAAAGATGAGATGGTGAGAAGGATAATAACAATACAGCCCTACTACATGGCTAAATATCTTCAGCCATAAGACAGTGTTGTGGGAATTAGGCAAAAAGGGATCATGTGACCCCAGGACACTGCAGCTGTCATAAATGCGAGCCAGATGCCAAGCATCTGAATTTTGATCCCATGACCATGAGGATGCTGCAACGGTCGTAAAGAGTGAAAACTGGTCATGAGTCAGTTTTTTCAGTGCTGTTGTAACTTCGAACTGTCGCTAAATGAAAGGTTGTAAACCAAGATTATATCTTGTGGAAGATCTATGGAGTAGCTCATTGAAAATGGGAGAGAAGAGAGGAGACTTCTTTTTCATAAGCGGGATTTTTTTTTAAAAAAAAAAGCTTCATTGCTGAGTCTGTAGTATCTCATGGGATGATCTATGCAGGGGAGAAAGAAGCAAGGAAAGAGAGGATGTGGAAGCCACGCCTGTGAGTTCGGAACATATATTTCAGACCTAGAAAGAAGTAATCCCATTAGGAATTGGCTTCAGTCCCAGGTCTTTGAAAGATGCTGCCTTTGTGGTCTCACCGGGCTTCAATTTAATCAAAACGTACTGTACTCCCCGACTAAGGAAAGGCTTTTTGGTGGATTGAACCTAAAATGTAAAAAAAAAAACCCAAAAAAACCCACCCCGCAATGTTGGCTTGAGAATTTATCCCATACCATGAAAATGCTGTAAATTAGCTGGTTTATTATTACCAGTATTGTAGTAAAATTTTTGATACTTACAGATCAACCCTTGTGCAGTTGTATGAATCAAGTGTCACTCATGGAATAACTGAAGAGTAACTATTTTTCACCTGATAGTTAAAATGGATCACGGGTTAAATTGACACTGAGCTTGTCAGCTGGAGAGCTGACAGCCCAGGTTTGAGACCCGGTCCCATGGCGTGAGCTCCCGTTATTTGCTCCGTCTCCTGCCCACCTAGCAGATCGAAAACATGCAAACACAAGTGTCATGGTTCCGACAGGTGAAACTCTTCAAAGAACTTCGAGGCATTGTTTACCTTAAAGAATCTTTATTGGAGTAGCATAGCATCGGCACTAACGTAGTCGAAGCCAAAAAGTGGATTCCCCTCCCCTGAGCCCATAGTATCAAAGCACAATTCTCTCCTCCAATTAACTGTCATAAATCACGTTCTCCAATTAGTTTGAAATGCAGGCTCTCCCTCCATTTCTCCAGCCCTCCATTTCTTATCATCTCTTATTTCAATAACCTTGGCTCATACACTTAAGTCCAGTATTATTATGCCTATCTAAACTCTCATGCACAATCCCCCCCCCCAGCATCATCTAACTCTGTGGTGGTGAACCTATGGCAGAGCCCTCTCTGTGGGCACACACGGTGTCTCCCCAGTCCTAGGCCTTCAGCTGGGTTTTATAAAACCTTTTTACTTTAGGCCTCCACCCCTGTATGCAAAAAAAAATGTTCAATCAATCAATCAATTTTAGCTTCTTGCAGGAAAAAAAAAGATCTTGCAAAGTTGGAATTGATTGATTGAACTTTTTAGTCCCATCCAGTTTGCTGTTACCACTGCAGCCACGCCCATCCAATGGGACACACCCACCCAATGGGACACACCCACCCAATGGGACACACCCACCCAGCACCCGACGATACATAAGTGGGTTTCGGGTTGCAGTTTGGGCACTCGATCTCTAAAAGGTTCGCCATCAGTGATCTAACTCTTGTCAAAGCAAACACAACCAATGTTAGCAGCGTTGACAGTGAATAGATTAATAGGTACCACTTTGGTAACAGTGTTCTGTGCCCCTATGGTGTATAGCCATGTTGGCCACATGACTATGGAAAATGTCTTTGGACAACGCTGGTACCCTCGGCCCCAAAAATGGAGACGAGCACTGTGCCTTAGAGTTGGACCCAACTCAGAGGGAAACCTTTACCTTTTTTTGTTTTCAAGTACGTGACATCTCGGCAAGTCATTATTTCTCTTTCTTCTCTCCCTTCATTCCTGCAGGACTAGAAAGCCCTTCTCATGCCCTTCGAGCTGATGCAAATCCTTACGCCAGTTCCGCATCAACGATATGCATTACCTTGGCAGATAAGCACCATTACGACAAGAATCTGGAAATCATCTTGCATCCTTCTGGTGAGAAGATCCCTCAATGCCAGGGGTCTAAATGAGGTCCTGGGGTATAGCGACTAAGGCAGTGCTTCCCAAACCTTTTCCTTCATTAACCAAAATCACATCAGAAAGTCTTACTGGATGTAAAAAGATGCTGAGACTCTACAAAGAGTACAGAGAAGAGCAACAAAGATGATTAGGGGACTGGAGGCTAAAACACATAAGGAACAGTTGCTGGAATTGGGTATGTCTAGTTTAACGAAGAGAAGGACGAGGGGGGACGTGATAGCAATGTTCCAATATCTCAGGGGCTGCCCCAAAGAAGAGGGAGTCAAGCTAATCTCCAAAGTGCCTGAAGGCAGGACAAGAAGCAATGGGCGGAAACTAATCCAGGACAGAACCAACCTAGAACTAAGGAGAAATTTCCTGACAGTTAGAACAATCAACCAGTGGAACAACCTGCCTCCAGAAGCAGTGAATGCTCCAACACTGGAAGTTTTTAAGAAGAGACTGGACAGCTAAATAAGGAGAAATTTCCTGATAGTTAGAACAGTCAACCAGTGGAACCGCTTGTCTCCAGAAGTTGTGGGTATTACATCACTGGAGTTTTTTAAAGAAGAGATTGGACAGCCATTTTCTGAAATGGTATAGGGCAGGAGTAGGCAACCTTGGCTCTTTTATGACTCGTGGACTTCCACTCCCAGAATTCCTGAGCCAGCCATGCTGAGGGGAAAGGGAGAGGTTTCCAAGCTGAGCCATGCTGGCTCAGGAATTCTGGGAGTTGAAGTCCACGAATCATAAAAGAGCCCAGGTTGCCTACCCCTGGTATAGGGTCCCCTGCTTGATCAGCGGGTTGGATCAGAAGATCTCCAAGGTCCCGTCCAACTCTTTTATTCTAATACTTCTGAATTATTCTGATGATTGTGTATCTTCCTCCCTTTTTCCCTGAAGAACCTCATCATCCCCACCTAATCATTGAAGATGGTGCCATGACTTATCATGAATATGAGGCACACATAAGGAACCGCTGGGATTATGCACGGATTGCCAAGAAGGACAGCGATGGAGAGAGACAGGTAAGTGCCTTGTCCAGGCCATGTACATTTGGTGTAAAGATAGTTTTGAATGATAAGGACACACTAGCAATCCCTTAGATGAGGTACTTTCATGTGGGATGTTTGTTCAGCTCCAATTCCCATGTCATCTGGTCGTCTTCATCTGTGATCATAGTTGAGCTGATTTATTTCCAACATTTATTTCAACACAGTGATGAAAAAATTTCCTGAAGCAGAGCTATACACATTTCCTCACAATTGTACGGGACGTCCTTGACTTACAACAGTTCTTTTAGTGACCGTTCAAAGTTACAACGGCCCCGAAAAAAGTGACTTATCATCATTTTAAGACCACGGCAACATCCCCAGGATCACCATGATCAAAATTCAGAGGCTTGGCAACTGACTCATACTTATGACGGTTGTGGTGCCTCAGGGTCACATGATCCCTTTTTGCGACCTGCTGACAAGCAAAGTCAAGGTGGAAGCCTGATTCGCTTAATCATGTGTCATGGTTCCGACAGATGAAACTCTTCAAAAGAACTTCGAAGCACTGTTTACTTTAAAGAATTTTTTATTCGAGAAACAACGTATTGGCACTACATAGTCGAAACAAAAAACTAAATTCCCCTCCCCTGGATATAAAGTAGCAAAGCACAATTCCCTCCTCCAATAAATAGTCATAAATCACGTTCCCAAATTAGCTTGAAGTGGGGGCTTTCTCCCCAGCTCTCCAGCCGCCAAAATTCTATCAACTCTGGGCCCAATGACCTTGGGTTCCCACAGCTGAGTTATTATTGTTATGACTAGCTGGACTCATCCACATTCCCCCTCCCCCTAGAGGAAAATGGCTGCATTTCCATCTGTTGTCAAAGCAAGCATATCCGATGTTAGCAGCGTTGACACCGTGTTACTAATTTAACAACCGCAGTAATTCACTTAGCAACCGAGGCAAGAAAGATCATAAGTGGGACAAAACTCACTTAAGAAATGTCTCGCTTAGCAAAATAATTTTGAGCCCAGTTGTAGTTGTAAGTCAAGGACTACCTGTCTTTGAGGTGAAGGGTTAAGATGCGTTTTTTTTTTCCCTTAAGGCTTTTGAGACTTATCAGTTTTGCTGTAGTGTACCTAGTGCTGTCGTTATGGATTGCTGGTTAACTACTGATTCTCAGATTGTGTTTCTGTGACTGCAGATACTTTTAATATCGATTACATTTTGCAATTTTAACATCTCTTTTGGAGTAATCTAAAAATACCACGGACAGCCAAAGTTTCCTTCCCCAACCCCCGTATCTAATCTACCTTTTTCTCTAGCACATTAGATGAAAATGTTTTCCCTTCAAAATGATTACAGGTAGTCCTCAAATTACGGCCACAACGGAGCCCCATATTTCTGTTGCTAAGCCAGGCAGTTGTCCAGGCTGTGGCGCAACATTTTACAAACTCCCCCCCCCCCGTGGTTGTTAAGCAAATTGCTGCATTGTTAAGTGAGTCGTGCACTTGTTAAGCGGAATCAGGCTTCCCTCTTTGGCTTTGTTTGTCAGAAGACTGCTGGATAGGCTACAAATGGTGATCACAATGGCCTCAGGACAGTGCAACCGTCATAAGTACATGCCAGTTGCCAAGTGCCCAAAGTTTGATCATGTGACCACGGGGATGCTGCAGTGGTCATACGTGTGAAAAACGGCCGTAAGTCGCATTTTTCAGTGCTGTTGTAGCTTCGAGTCACTAAACAAATGGTTGTAAGTCAAGGATTACCTGTATTTAGTTCCATCTAGGGATAGGTCTTTCCATGCCCGCTACGCATAATAGATAAATGGTGGTGCCTCTATTTCAGGGGTCTTCAGACTTGGCAACTTGAAGACTTGTGGACTTCAACTCCCAGAAGTCCTTAGCCAGTGAGGAATTCTGGGAGTTGAAGTCTACAAGTCTTAAAGTAGCCAGGTTTGAAGGCCACTGCTCTATTTTAATGTAAATACAACTTCCCAAAGAAGTTGGTGGAAAGAAAGAGGCTTACTTAAAAACTTCCGAGAGGCAAATGGAAACATACTCGGCTAGATGGACTTTCCCTGATGCAACCATCAAGAGATTTGGATCCTTCGCAGCTCGCCAGAGCTTTAAAGCAGGGCTTTTCAACCAGTGGTACGGGTACCACCTGTGGTACATTGGCACCTGGCAGGTGGTATCCGAGGAGGGGAATGAGCTGAACCGGTGGCAGCACCGCACAAGCCTGATCAAGGGACGGCTGGAGCTGCAGGGCTGTCAGGGTTCAACAGAATCGCCAGGATCAATGCTGCTTTCCAGCTGATCGGCGCTTCTTCGGCGCTGTCAGGGCTCAGTGGAAGCACCAGGATCAGCGCCAGGCTCCAGCTGGAGCTCGGCGCTGATCCTGGTGCTTCTGCTAAGCCCTGAAGAAGCACCAATCAGCTGGAGCTCAGGGCTGATCCTGGTGCTTCTGCTGAGCCCTGAAGAAGCGCCGATCAGCTGGAATGTTGCAGCCTCTCCAGAGTCTTGTGATTTACATTCAGATGCTTGGCAACTGGTTCATATTTATGACAGTCACAGTGTCCCAGGGTCATGTGAAGTGACCAAAACCTGCTGCAACTACCCAGCAGACGGGGGAAATAAAAACCGAACACCCCCCCCACCCCACCCCCACTGCCAATCCTCAACAGAAATGCTCACAACAATGAAAACCTCGGACAGGAGGAAGAGCGCCGCCGGGCGGGCAGGCAGGTGTCTTGCTCAGCTGTGGCTTGGGGAACTTTTTCAGTGTCATTGTAACTTCAAACAGTCACTAAGCAAACTGTTGTATGTTGAGGACTACCTGTACTTTATCACTTTTTTCCTTTTTTGGGGGGGGGGGTCATCAAGCTTTTGATACCTTGCTAGGCGACTGGTGGTACTCAGATGTTGCCATATCCTAAAAATAGTACAATGGGTGAAAAGGTTGAAAAGCCCTGCTTTAAAGCATGTGTCCATCTCAGAAAAAAAAAAAAATCCCAGATTTTAAGACCGCCTTTATGGAACTTCTTTTCTCTGCTCCTAGATTGCCTTTGTCCAGAAGAGATTCCACAAAGACATTTTCTACAATCCTGTCCTGATGCTGAATTTCTGCCCCAGAATAAGCAGCGTTTCTACTGACATTCAGACGGTGACCAGGGAGATCTTCTTCCTCATTGACCAGACAGGAAGCGCAAGTGGCCCCAGCATCGATGGGATCAAAGTAAATGGAATCTTGCATTAGTGGCCTTTTAGAGAGCCCAGACCGTTGGATAAAGACACCCTTGAGTTGAGTTCAACCCAACTCCGTGACTCTATCCAGGCAGTTCTCTTAACAGATTCACAGAAGTGATTTCCCATTGCCTTCTTTCTGGAACAAGTTAGTCTAAGTCAGTGATGGCGAACCTTTTAGAGACCAGTGCCCCAAAATTGGCCCCACTCCACCCCCTGCCCTGCCCCCACTCGGCCCCCCATCTCCCGCCCCGCTTGCCCGCAGGGCCACTCACCACCTCTAGGGCCCACTGCAGATCGCTCAGGCAGCCCAGCAGCGCTATGGTGGTCACGCCCTGTGCCCGCGCCCTGCAGCATCAACTGTACTCGATGGGGTGTGAGGGCAGACTCTTGTCTACGCTACCTGGTTGCCATGTCCTTGGCTGCGCTGCTCCGCGTGAGCCACGCTCAGGGGTGACTCTCCTTCAGGGGGGCTGCTGGAGAGGAGGGGGTCACGGGGGGGTGAGGCTGGGGCAATGTCACGTGTGCCCAAAGAGAGGGCTCCAAGTGCCACCTCTGGCACCCGTGCCATAGGTTCGCCACCACTGTTCTAAGTTCATTGCCTGGCATTCTTTAATATGATTATTCCCCAAGCACATACTTAACAGTTTGCCTCTTGTGGTAACACTTAATGACAACTTTTGGAAGTTGTCTTGTAGAGTAAGGAAAATGTCCCAGATGGAGGATTTTAGACATTTTTTTTAAAATACTAACTATAATGGGGTTTTTTTTCTAATTCAAAAATAAGCATGAAGGACTTAATCTGGATTGTGATTTTTGTGGTCCCAATGTTAATGTGAAGAGCAAGGTCAATTTTCCTTAGAGTTGAGCCTCGCATCCAGTTTTCTTAGCCTCAGTGCAGAAGCGATTTGCCACTGCCATCTTCCATGATGTTTCTTTTTTTTCAGCACATGTGCCTGGCCTAGGTTTTTCTGAAAAGCTCACCTTCAGTTGCTAGCCAGGTTTGGCCTTACCTGGCCTTATGAGGTGAATGAAGCAAGGCAGCTGGATGCTGCCAAGTGACGTGGATTTTTTTAAAAAATATTTTTTTCTTTTATTTTTTATCTCCCTCATTGTTCTCAGAAAGCACTTGCAGTGGTCTTGATCACCTCCTAGAGTTGCTTGCTTAAGATGGACAGTTCTAGAAATTGAAATAAATAAATAAAGTAAGGGCTAGAAAATGAGAGTTGTATAGCGGAGAAAGGAGACCTGTGTTCTGTTCCTTAAGAAGCTTATTGAGTGACTTTGAGAATTCTTATTTCTCAGCCTTCTTCTGTGTCCAGATCAAACTTTAGACTGCCAAAATGAAGCCACCTTCCTTGTTTGATCGTCGGCCAAAAACAAACCATTTTCAGTACATGTTTCTGGTTAACCAACATACCATGGCAGATCTGCTTCTCTCTGCATTCACTCGGTGTGTGGTTATCCGCTAACAGCTTCCACTTGAGCATATTGGTCTTACACTTAAGTGCTCCAATTTCCAACTTGTTCAAGGTTCTCAAAGTAGTATAAGGGAGTCGAACCTTCAGCCAGATCCTCTTTTAATGTTGTGCAATGGCCTTTTCCTGCCATCTTTTAATTCAATTTCTCAAACTAAGAGCCAGAATGGTTTATTGATGAAGGTGCTGGACTACGAACGGGGAGACCCGGGTTCAAGCCCTCCCTTAGCTACAGAAGCTCTCTAAGGCAGTGGTTCTCAACCTGTGGGTCGGGACCCCATTTGGGGTCGAACGACCATTTCACGGGGGTCACCAAACAACGCAGTCCGCCATTTTTTCCCCCTTTTCCTTAGCTGTGCTACTCCCTTTTATTCTATTGACTTTCGAAAGCCAATAGAATAGACTCTCTTGAATAGAGTCTAATTCTATTGGCTTTCAAAAGCCAATAGGAATTGTCCAGGCTGCCCTGCTGAGCCCGCCAAAAGTCCCATTCTGCAAATGGTGCTGCACCAGTTGAGTAGTTCTCGACTTACGACCGGTTGAGTAGTCCTCGACTTATGACCGGTTGGGGGTCGCGGCATTAAAAAGGTTGAGAACTACTGCTCTAAGGACTTCAGGACAATCTCCATCCCGGCCCAAGTGAAAGTGTAGTGAAGTGGTGAAAGTGAAGCTCCAGGTCTCCCCTCAGCCACAGAAGTCTCTGAGTGGCTTTGGACTAGTTGCTGCCTTTCAGCCCTGCCTCCTTCACGTAGTTGTCGTGGTGGGGATAAATGTGTGCTATAGAACCTAACAATAACAGAATAACAGAGTTGGAAGGGACCTTGGAGGTCTCCTAGTCCAACCCCCTGTTCAAGCAGGAGACGCTATACTATTTCAGAAAATGGATGGCCAGCTGCTTCTTAAAAACCTCCAGTGATGGAGCACCCACAACTCCAAGAGGCAAGTCATTCCATTGATTAATTGTTCTAGCTGTCAGAACGTTCTTCCTTAGTTCTAGGTTGGTTCTCTCCTTGATTAGTTGCCATCCATTGCGTCTTGTCCTGTCTTCAGGGGCTTTGGAGAAGAGCTTGACCCCCCCCCTTCTTTGGGGCAGCCTCTCAAATATTGGAAGACTGCTGTCCTGTCGCCCCCATCATGCCATCTTTTGCACCCAGAGGAAAGGTAAGAAATACATCCACATGGTAACCTTGACTTTCTCTCCCTTTTCCTGTGCAGGATGCTCTGCTGGTGGCCATAAAGAGCCTTCCTTCCAGCAGCTTGTTGAATGTGGCGGGCTTTGGCCCCAACATCAGACCAGCCTTCAAGACGAGCAAGCCTTGTAATAATGTGAGTACCCTCTCCAAGCTGGCTGAACCATCCCAGGGCTGAGCTGGGAATCTGTGCAGAATTCGGTGTGTGTTCCAGGAGACCCTGGTTTGGCCAATTACTGCTGGCTTTGCTACTCTTTACAGCAGGGGTCTTCAAACTTGGCCCTTTTGTGACTTGTGGACTTCAATTCCCAGAATTCCTCAGCCAGGCACGCTGAGGAATTCTGGGAGTTGAAGTCCACAAGTCAAAAAAGGGCCAAGTTTGAAGACCCCTGCTTTACAGGAAGAATGTTCGGCCCCATTGCAGATCTTCTCTCTCAGGCATTCTGATCACCTTTTGATCAACCCTTTGATAAGGATAATCAAGTCTTGTGGGTAACTTTGAATTCTGTGCCTGGTAAATTGAATTCACCAAGATGTGCAGATTGGCCAAAGGGTAAAAAATAGCCTAGCTGGTCTTCATTTATTTTGAAATGAGCGGGTCTAACAACGGGCTAGAATGCAAGGCATGAAAATCTGTCCTATGATCCCTGGGAATTCCTATTAATTTATTCACAACTGGCCTTTCCAAGATCACACCAGCCATTGTTTGTGTGCAGGTACTCCTTAACAACCATTCATTTAGCGTTCATGTCAAGTTACTACGGCACTAAAAAAGGAACATAAGGCTGGTCCACATGCTTACCACCGTGGCAGCAGTTAGAGTGCAGTACTGCAGGCCACTTTAGCTGACTGTGTTCAGCAGGTCAGCGGTTCAAATCTCACCGGCTCAAGGTTGACTCAGCCTTCCATCCTTCCGGGGTAGGTAAAATGAGGACCCAGATTGTTGGGGGCAATGTAAATATATATATACATTGCTTACTGGTGTACACCGCTTAGAGAGTGCTTGCACTTAAAGCGGTATATAAGTCTCATAAATAAATAAATAAATCAGTACGGTCACATGATCAAAATTCACATTTGGCACTTGACATGTATTTAAAGTGGTTGCACCGTCCAGGGGTCATGTGATCACCATTTGTGATCTTCCCTATGCAGTGGTGTTCAAATACCTGAACAACCGGTTCTCTTATTGGGTGCAGGCCTGGGCCTCCGAGGCCTAGAACGGACTTCTGAAAGTGGCATCATGCATTTCCGGTGGGCCGTTTTAGGCCTGGGAGTCCTCCTCCAGGCCTCCAATGCCTAGAACGGAGTTCCGGAAATGGTATCCATGCACTTCCGGTGGGCCATTCTAGACCTGGGAGGCCTCCAAGGCCTAGACTGGACTTCCAGAAGCCAGCCAGTTCTCTGAATTCAGGTAAATTTAGCTATCGGTTCTCCCGAACCGGCGCGAACCGGCTGAATCCCACCACTACATACACCTTGAACCGCCATGCCCTCAGAGACCACAAATGCCCCAATGAAGAAGGGCAGTCACTGTCCGCAAACAGTGTTACCTGCCCTACTTTATTGCAAAAAAAAAAAAAATGTAAATAGCTCCTTAGATCAGGCTGAGGAATTCTGGGCGTTGAAGTCCACAAGTCATAGAAGGGCCAAGTTTGAAGACCCCTGCGTTAGATTGTCTCTGTAAACTGCTCTCTATCTCCCCAGGACATCCTTAGGCTGGCCTGTGAATATATTCAGAAGCTACGGGCTGATGTGAGCGGGACCAGCCTCCTTGCTGCTCTGAACTGGAGCTTGGGACAGCCTCTCCACCGCGGATATCCACGGCAGCTCTTTATCTTGACGGATTCCAGCGTAGAAAACCCAGGCAAGGTTATTGAGCTAGTCCGGAGACAAGCAAGCACTGTCAGGTATGAAATAATACGAACCAGCCACAAACGTTAGGCTTTTCTGTTCCAGGCTGTAAATTTATCTACCCAGATATCTGGCCCTAGGATCACTTTGAGGAAGAGAAATTTCCATATTGTGAGGTTTAAGCCAACAGATACCTGCCGCAAACAACTCACCTGGAGTTCAAAATAAACCACACTGAAAACTTGTAGGACCAATTTTGCAGACACTGAGGCGGGACCTCCCCCCTCCCATGTAAGGGTAGAATGGAGTCCACTTTCAATCCGGAAAGGGGATCACAATAGCATCGCCCAAATGATGTGGAGCGTGCCACTGTTGTCCATTGCATAACACAGCTGTCCCAAATGATATAATCTGCGTCATTTGTGTGATGAGAGAAATCTAGGGGACTGGAGGCTAAAACATGAAAATGGTGGCAGGAATCGAGTATGTCCAGTTTAAGAAGAAGAAGGATCAGGGTGACATGATAGCAATCTTCCAATATTTGGAGGGCTGCTGTAATTTGGAACGGACACTAAATGAACTTATGTTCAAGTATTGAATAGCCCACAATGTCCCAGGTGTTCATTCTGGATTTCACAGAACGCCCACACACCACACTTTCTATGGCTAAAATTGATATTGTTCCATAAAATGTCCATTAAAAATATAATTAAACTTGCTTTAAAATCAGTAACAATTCAGTGTCTGTTATCGTCAGCGTCTCTTGGAAGCCTGTCCATCATTGAGACTCTAGAAAGAGTGCAGAGAAGAGCAACAAAGATGATTAGGGGATTGGAGGCATATAAGGAATGGCTGCTGGAATTGGGTATGTCTAGTTTAATGAAGAGAAGGACGAGGGGGGACAGGATACCAGTGTTCCAATATCTCAGGGGCTGCCACAAAGAAGAGGGAGTCAAGCTATTCTCCAAAGCCCCTGAGGGCAGGAGAAGACGCAACGGAGGGAAACTAATCAAAGAGAGAAGCAACCTAGAACTAAGGAGAAACTTCCTGACAGAGCAATTAATCAGTGGAACCTCTTTGCTCCATTACTGGAGGATGTTAAGAAGAGATTGGACAGCCATTTGTCTGGAATGTTATAGCGTTTCCTACTTGAGCAGGGGGTTGGACTAGAAGACCTCCAAGGTCCCTTTAAACTCTGTTATTCAGTTATTATTTTATGATGTCATTTGCAGTCAGCCAATTCATGCTCGAAGAGCAGTTGGAATTCAGAAGTCACAGCTTCAACTTCTACAAATGGCTGATAAGGGCAGCTGTAACATTTGGCAGCCATAAAGATGTGGCATGGCAGGACCACTGCACGCAACATGCACAATTTGGAATGGGATGAATACAAAGGAGTGGCAGTTCTGTCTCTGAAGTCCAGCCCTTTCTTTCTTGCAGGTGTTTCACTTTTGGCCTGGGCTCTGCTGCCTGCCATGAGCTCCTCAGGAGATTGGCCAAAGTTAGCAGAGGCCAGGCAGAATTCCTCAGCCCAGGAGAAAGATTGCAGCCTAAGGTGGGGCTCTTATGCCTTGGATAATGCTTTTTATTTGATCACAGGTTCCCAATCATCAGGTTTGGGTGGTAGGCATTTAACCCGTCATCAGACCCTGCGCGTTATAAAGCACCAGGGCTGATGAACTATGTATCACCTAGGAGAAATGTTGTCTTTACCATGTTACCAGCATGTCATTGCTATTCCTGGAAAGCACAGAGGTCATTTTCCAAAAATCTTTTGGCGCATGAGGGCTGAAAGGGCTGTGACAGTAAGGATATCAGACAAATTGGGCCCAACAAGTGAGGGTTTTGGATAGGAGGAAGAATACAGTAATTTAAAGCCACACAATGCATGCTAAGATTAATAGTATTAACTTGTTGTTGTTGTTAGTTGCGAAGTTGTGACCCATCGCGACCCCATGGACAACGTTCCTCCAGGTCTTCCTGTCCTCTACCATCTTCTGGAGTCCATTTAAGTTCACACCTACTGCTTCAGTGACTCCATCCAGCCACCTCCTTCTCTGTCGTCCCCTTCTTCTATTGCCCTCCATCTTTCCCAGCATTAGGCTCTTCTCCAGTGAGTCCTTCCTTCTCATTAGGTAGCCAAAGTATTTGAGTTTCAACTTCAGGATCTGGCCTTCTAAAGAGCAGTCAGGGTTTATCTCCTCCAGGACTGACCGGTTTGATCGCCTTGCAGTCCAGGAACTCGCAGGAGTCTTCTCCGGCACCATAGCCCAAAGGCCTCAATTCTTTGGCGCTCAGCCTTTCTTATGGTCCAACTTTCACAGCCATACATTGCAACTGGGAACATAGGCATGTTAAATGTCTATGGAGATTCTCAATCATCCAGTCATGGTTGTCCCAAAGGTGCTTTTCCAAAAAGCAACTGGATTTCCTTGTTTTGTTTTTTTCCTTGAAAACATTTCGCTTCTCATCCAAGAAGCATCTTCAGTTCTGAAGAAGCTTTTTGGATGAGAACCAAAATGTTTTTCAAGGACAAAACCAAGAAAGTCCAGTTGCCTTTTGGAAAAGCACCTTTGGGATAGGCATGTTAAGTTCAGCAAAACCACCATCTACTTCCATTTGTCACCTTCTGGAGTTTTCCCAGCACGTTTTCAAATGTGGACTTCTCCTTCCTTGTTGCCCATGATATTTTGAGTTCCACTTGATTGGTGGAGAACTCAACCTCTTTGCCACCAGGTCCTTTAAGTAGAGCATGGACTGCCGTAGCTGAATGTTCAATGTGCTTTGCCCCCAGCTGATAAAGTCCTTGAAGAAAGCCATTGAGCCAGCTGTGAGTGACATCACCATTGACTGGTACGTGCCTGACACCATGGAGGCCCTGCTGTCACCCAATGAGATCGCGGCCCTTTATCCCGGAGACCGGCTCATCAGCTACTGCACCCTCTACCACATTGCCAGCTTCCGGGACAAGAAAGCAACAGTTGAGCAATTGTTTCCTTCAAAAGTAGATGACATATCATCCCTGGGTTTCACTTTGTGACCATCCCCTGGATCCAGCACGCCCAAAGCCTTAGTTGGCCTGTCACAATCCTTGGGGGGGAAGAGCCATTATTTCTTTCTCCATATCAGGTTTTCATGTCACGCATGGTACAAATGCACAAGCGACCCTCGGCTTAACAATTGGGAGCAGAATTTCTCTAGCTCAGGGCTTTTCAACCTTTTCACCCATTGTACCACTTTTAGGATATGGCAATATCCGAGTACCACCAGTCACCTAGCAAGGGGTCAAAAACTTAATCACCCCCCCCCCAAAGGAAAAAAGTGATAAAGTACAGGTAGTCCTCAACTTACAACAGTTTGCTTAGTGACTGTTCGAAGTTACAATAGCACTGAAAAAAGTACCCCCAAGCCACAGCCAAGCAAGACATCTGCCTGCCCACTGAGGTTTTCATTGTTGTGAGCATTTCTGTTGAGAATTGGCAGCGGAGGTGGGGTGGGGGGGTGTTTGGTTTTTATTCCCCCCATCTGCTGGGTGGTTGCAGCAGGTTTTGGTCACTTCACATGACCCTGGCACACTGTGACCATCATAAATATGAATCAGTTGCCAAGCATCTGAATGTAAATCACAAGACCCTGGGGAAGCTGCAACATTCCAGCTGATTGTTGCTTCTTCAGGGCTCAGCAGAAGCATCAGAATCAGCACCGAGCTCCAGCTGGAGCCTGGCGCTGATCCTGGTGCTTCCACTGAGCCCTGACAGCCCCGAAGAAGCACCAATCAGCTGGAAAGCGGCACTGATCCTGGCGCTTCCACTGAGCCCTGACAGCCCTGCAGCTCCAGCCGTCTCTCGCTCAGGCTTGTGCAATGCTGCCACTAGTTCAGCTCATTCCCCCTCCCCTGCTACCACTTTCCTAGGATGGTCCCGTACCACCTGCCAGGTGCCAATGTACCACAGGTGGTACCCATACCACTGGTTGGAAAGCCCTGCTGTAGCTAAGCGAGCCAGTTGTTAAGTAAGCCTGTGCCTTTTTTTGCTGCAGCTGTTAAGTGAAGCACTGAAGTTACAAAGTGAGCCACACGGTCGTTAAGCGAATCTGGCTTCTCCCATTGACTTGGCTCGTCGGGATCCAGGGGTTGCAAATGGCCATCACGTGACCTGGGTAACCTGCAGCCATTGTAAATACATGCTGGTTGCCCAAGCACCTGAATTTTGATCCCATGACCGTGGGGGTTGCTGTGATGGCCATAAATGTGAGGAATGATTATGAGTCCACTTTTTTCAGTGCCTCTGTAACTTCCGATGATCACTAAACAAATGGCTGTAAGTCAAGGCTTACCTGTATTGTTGTTGTTGTTTTGTTACCGCGTTCCTTAGGCCAGAGAGCAAATCTGTCGAAGTTTCTCTAGAGGATCTGCAGGGCCAGCCTTTCCATCCGAGGAGGAGGTAGAAGGACAGGATGGAGCCCTCCCACCTTCATCTGGAGATAATCCAGAGTGCTGCAAGGGCCTTCACGACAATTCCCAGGAAATATCCACAAAGTTTTCACCTGGGGACACCGATGAGTCCATGAAGAGTAAGTGCAGGCCTTGGAAGGCAATATTCATATCCATTTTAAAGGAGGTTGCGACGTGGGATTGGATAGAGTTCAGGGCTCCTGGTACTCTCTGAGCTTGGTTGTTTTCTTGCAGACATTTCATTACCCAAACTGGGCAACGTCGTCAGTGCTTGTGGGTCTAAAAAATACAGAATTTGCTGCAGAGCTAATGCAGCGGGGTGCACCCTTTTTTCCCCAGACAGAAGGTGCATCACGGTGCTGAAGGTCCACATTCCGAAAAGTACTGTAATAGGACCAAAACAAACAAACCCTGCGATGTAATTTTATTTGCATTTACATTAAAACGAAACTACAGCGAAAAGGGTTAACTCGCCACTGTGTACTACCGTTTAATAGTTTCCCTTTCGGTCACATTAAAAATGAATGTGACACTTTAATAAATGATCCCAGGAACATTGAACTCCTAATTGCAACCATGATCATTCTCACGCTTAACGATTTCTTGTCCCTGAGGCTTTCTGAGACTAGAGGAGCCCATGAGGTTTTTGTTTATGTATCTTTGCAGTAAATTTCCCCTTTGAATTAATCAAGGCGCCAAAAAAAGGTGGCTTTTCATTAGAGCACATCTTTGCATAGAGAAAGATCTAAATCCCTTCTTGACCTTTCCAGCTGAGGCGTAACTTGGCAAATTTCTCCAAGCCGGTCACCATAAATTATTCTCCCTGGCAGGTGGAGATCCTGTGTCTGGAGGAGACATCTGGAAGCGGATTTACCAGCCTTCCTACATCCAGGAGCAATATGTGCTTACTCACTGCTCAGTCAGCACTGACCCTAGCCAGGGCTTATGCCACAGCTCTACCAGCAGTGAGTCTACCGGCTCCAGAGATGTACCTCCAGAGGAAGGCTCCTTAGCCCAGACTCTTGAAAGCCCCTCACAGCAAGGACAGAAGACTGTGTCTCTCTGCAACTCTTCCACTAAGTCTGCTCCAGTAACCCAGACTCAGACTAGGGCTGCGGCTAAGGTGAGGAACCCCAAAACTCTTACTTTCTCCAGCTGTCACATGTTCCGACTAATGAAGCACTTCAAAGAACTTTCAGGAATGTTTCCTAAAATCTTTATTTGCAAGAGCTACAATTTTTGCCAGTCACCATGTTGGACTGGTTATGCCAGAATCTGAACTTCCTGTCGCTGGCATCAAGCTTTCCTTGCTCAACCCCTCCCTTCTCATGCAGTCACAGGTCACATTATCCAATTAGTGAGAAGGTCAAAAGTTTACTTCCTCTTTCTTTCCCGGGCTTTTCCCCCCCCCCCGCCCAGTCTAAGCTAACTATTAACCCAATAAATGCCAGACAGTTTTGCATATTGTCAAAGCAAGAATATACAGTATTTGCAGCATTGACATCAGCATTTTGTAGAGTTAACAGAAGAACAGAGTTGAGGGTCTTCTAGTCCAGCGGTTCTCAACGTTTGTGTGATGGCAACCCCGTCACACAAACGTTCTGCGCATGCGCAGCGCGGTGCGCATGCGCGCCGCCACCCCGCAGCGCGCAGGCGCAGCGCCGCCCCCTGAGGGGAGAAAATGGCAGATCGCCTTCTTTGGCGACCCCCGAAAAATGGTCAATCGACCCCAAATGGGGTCGCAACCCATAGGTTGAGAACCGCTGTTCTAGTCCAAGCCCCTGCTCAAATAGGAGACCCTATGCCAGTGATGGTGAACCTGTTAGAGACCGAGTGCCCCAAAACTGGCCCCGCCCCCACTCCACCCCCCCGCCCCCCTCCGCTCTGTCCCCCATCCCCCGCCTGCCCACAGGACCACTTACTGCCTCCAGGGCCCGCTGCAGATCACCCAGGCAACCCAGCAGCGCTATGACGGCCACGCCCTCTCCCCACGCCCTGCAGCATCAACTGTGCATGATGGGGTGTGAGGGCAGAGTCTTGTCTACACTGCCTGGCTGCCATGTCCTTGGCTGCACTGCTCCGTGTGGGCCACACTCAGGGGCGACTCTCCTTCAGGGGGGCTGCTGGAGAGGAGGGGGTCGTGGGGGGAGGCGAGGCTGGGGCGATGGCGCGTGTGCCCACAGAGAACCCGTGCCATAGGTTCACCACCACTGCCCTATGCCATTTCAGACAAATAGCTGTCCAATTTTTAAAAACCTCTAGTGATGGAGCAGCCACAACTTCTGGAGGCAAGATGTTCCACTGATGAATTGTTCTGTTAGAAAATTTCTCCTTAGTTCTAGGAAGAAGAACATCATGGCTTCAAAATCTAAGGGACTGGTTTGGACAAAACTCAGCAGCGTTTTTTCGTGCGGCTGCTGATGAAAACAGGATCGCCAACATGATCGCCAACGTCCGATAACGGATATGGCACAAGAAGAAGAAGAGTTCTAGGTTGCTTCTCTCTCTGACTAGTTTCCATCCATTACTCAGTCAGTTGTGCAATTAATTCCTGGAAGGCTCCAATTCTTTCTCTGAATTCTGAATTCGTTATCCCCCATCTATGCTTTATAATGATGGCGATGACGGTCATTTCTGCTATGACATGATAGCAGTGTTCCAATATCTAACAGGCTGCGGCAAAGAAGAGGGGGTTAACTTATTTTCCAAAGCACCTGAAGGTAGGACAAGAAGCAATGGATGGAAACTAACCAAGGAGAGGAGCAACCTAGAACTAAGGAGGAATTTCCTGACATTTATAACAATTAACCAATGGAACGACTTGCCCCCAGAAGTTGTGGATGCTCCAATTCTGGAGGTTTTTAAAGACAGAGTGGACAACCGTTTGTCTGAAGTGGTACAGGATTTCCTGCCTGAGCAGGAGGTTGGGCTAGAAGACCCCCAAGGTCCCTTTCAGCTCTATTATTCTGTTACTGTTGTTATCATCATCATCACTCTTGCATAAAGGACATCTAGGTCCTTCCTGGATCTGTACAACGAAAATCATTTGTCTTTCTTACATCCTTTCCCGAGGTTTCCATTTTTGGACCCTTGTCTCTTTTCCTCTCCCTGAAGGTATCCATTGCCCTGAGCTCTGAAGAGTTGATGCGTAAGAAGAAAGCCCTGGCTAAGACTGCCATGTCTGGGCGTAGTTTCTCTTCCCCGCATGGCGAGTTGGACTCCCGTCGGCTACGCCGAGCCCTGGAGAAAGTATCCCAGAAACCCAATCGGTCTCTGGAAGGGAAGTTGGATGAGATTGGGCCTGAGCTGCAGAAGAAGCCCCAGGCTGCTGCTGATTCCAGTGAGTGAAGGGGATGGAGAAAGGTGATGTAGTTTGGGAACAGGACGATAAGGACAAACTGGAAAGGTTGAGAATTTTACCAGCGCGTAAAAAGTAGAAAGACAGTGAGTGTTATGAAGTGGTTAAGGCAGTGATGGGATTCAGCCAGTTTGGCAGAACCGGTAGCTAATGTTTTGTTGCCCAGGCCCAGAATGGACTTCCGGAAGCGGCACCCACACAGAGAACCAGTTGTTTACATATTTGAATCCCGCCACTGGGTTAAGGTGTTGAACCAGGGAGACCTTGGTTCAAATCGACTCTCAGGTGTGGAAACTCACTGGGTGATATTGGGCCACTTGTAGATGCTCAGCCCAGCCTACCCCACAGCATATGGGGATAAAAATGAAGTTCCCCACGTAAGCTGCCTTCAAAAACAGGACAAAAGGGTACGATATAGACCAGAGGTAGGCAATCTTGGCTCTTTTATGACTCGTGGACTTCAACTCCCAGAATTCCTGAGTCAGCATAGCATAGCTGACTCAGGAATTCTGGGAGTTGAAGTCCACGAGTCATAAAAGAGTCAAGGTTGCCTACCCCTGATATAGACCCAATAAATGAATACAACATTTGAAAAATGGTAAGATAGATTTCATTCTGGCTTACGCTGAAGCAGACCCATGTCAGTGGCAGGGATCTTCTAATGGTGAGCACTATGCCAGAGTTCCAAACATGGGGAAATGAATATTCATGAGGTCCAACGCTAGCAGCAGCCAAAAGGAATGCTTCTGACTTGCTTCACCTTTTGGAATTAATAGAAGAGAAAGTATATGTACTTCGGGGGTTGAATGGCGGGGTCCCTGGTATTTTCTGTGGATGGTGGTTTTCTTGCAGACATTTCCTGTCCCAACTAACTAACATCAGGACTTGGTACTAATAGATGAGAATATTCTCAGGGTTGAGCTGTGGGGTCCTTAGTATTCTCTGAGCTTGGTTGTTTTCTTGCAGATGTTTCATTACCCAACTACGTAACAACATCAATGCTAGCTGGGTAATGAAACATCTGCAAAAAAATCCCACTGCTGTGTTTCCCCCAAAATAAGATCTTATATTAAGTTTTGCTCCAAAACATACATTAGGGCTTATTTTCCGGTTAGGTGTTATTTTCGGGGAAATAAAGTAGTAAATGCGTCCATCTGGCTGACTATCTTAACTGGGGCTTATTTTGGGGGTAGGGCTTATATTATAAGCATCCTGAAAAATCATGCTAGGGCTTATTTTCCGGTTGGGTCTTATTTTGGAGAAACACAGTACAGTCGTGGCCAAAATTGTGGAAACCTTTTGGGAAAAGTGTATTTTTGAGGTTTGATGGCTAATAATAATGGAGTAGTACCATAAAATTATCTATCAATGGAAAGATAATTTAATCAAGAATGTAATGCAACGAAGTTTGTTCAATTATCTGTACTGTATTCTGTGAAAAGTTATAGCCAAATAACCAGAAAAAGGAAGCACAACTTGCTTAGGTTGATATCAGGGAGCTTTCCTTCATCTGATTGTAGCCAATGAGCATGAGTGTTTAGAGAGCCAATCAGGTGTCATCTTGTTTTGGCAATGAGCCAATCAGATCACAGTAGGATTCAGCTTTTGGCATCATGTATTGAAGCTGAGAGGTGGACATTTGTCAGTGTGTTATGTGATCGCTATCAAGTTGGTTGGGGTTTTTTTTTTTTCGTTTAGTGAGCTGGTAAAATGTAATAAAATTAAAGAAATGGTGCAAAGAGTTGACTGGTCGCCCAGAAAAAGATGTAAAATAGTATTATTAAGTGAACAAGGCTATAATTATAAAGAATTAGAAGAAAAATTGGTGGAAACTTAACCAAAGGTGGCATTTCTACTGCACACTTTTCCCAAAAGGTTTCCACAATTTTGGCCACTACTGTAAGCTCAGAGACCACCAAAGACCCCACTTTCTGAATTATCTGAGCAGGTCGTGTCCTGCTGCAAAACCTTGCCTCTGCATCCCAATGGCTTATTCTTTTCTAGGCAACTTGCTGTCACCTGTCCATCTTGACTGGGACATGCTGTTGGATCCCCCCTACCTTTTCAGCCCATCACCAGCCTTGGAGCAAGGAATGGCCGATGGCAACTCCTTGCCTCCTCTCCAGTGCCAGGTGGTGATACATGCCCTCAGTGCAGGGAAGCCCGTCTCCTGGGAGGTGATCAGTGGCCTGGATTTCTTGTTCCTCCCCAAAGACAGCCTGGAACATTCCCAGGGATGGCAGCAGCAAAATCCGGGATTGGAGAAGTTACTTCATCACCTGACCGCTGCTTCTGTTATCCGGGATAACGAGACTGTAGCTCAGAGAGAAGCAGAAGTGGAACACGGTAAACGCTCCTTTTCCTCAAGTTTTCCTGCCTTCAGATTTGGTATATTATTAACTAACAACCGGTTTTGGAGGTAGAGTCACAGCATCCTCTGGGCACTTGGTAACCAGCATGTATTCATGACAGTTGCAGCATCCAGGAATCATGCGATCCCCGTTTGTAACCTTCCCAACGAGCTTCCAGCTAGCAAAGTTGTCAGAGCATCTTATCACACGAGATAACCCAGGAGTAAACACAATAAACAATGGTCTATATTAAATGGTGGTTTATCTTACACTATCTACAATATCACACACCAGGAACAATATACATCCACGTGCTAATACAGCAGGATCCAACACACCGCAGTTACAGCAGGAAACGGAAGAGAACACAGCAGCAGAGCCTTCCCTTTTATACAAAGGCTCTTAAAGAGACACAGACCCTGCTGCCTCTTAAAGGGACGCAGACCCTGCGGAGTCATTCCCATTATTACCTCATACATCTTACATTACCTAAGCTGGTTAGCTATTAAATCATTACCTTGACAAAAGTCAGTGGATAAAGCCAGATTTGCTGAATGACCACATGATTAACTTAACATCTGGAGTGATTTGCTTAACAACCGTGGCCAAAAAGTCCTAAAACTGGGCATGACTCACTTAGCAACTGCTGTGCTTAGCAACAGAAATGCTGATCCCAGTTGAAGTTGTAAGTCGAGAACTTCCTATAGCACCAATGTGGAATCCTTCTTGGGAATTTGGGTGGTTTCCTTTCTGATAGATCAAGGGTCAGATCATCTGTAGCCCTCCAAATGTTTTATATAAATAAATAAATAAATAAATTTTGTCAAGGTATTGATTTAACAGCTAACCAGCTTGTGTATTGTAAGATATAAGATGTAATGATGGGAATGACTCAGCAGGGTCTGTGTCTCTTTAAGAGTCTTTGTATAAAGGGAAGGCTCTGCTGCTGTGTTATCTTCTCTCTTCCGTTTCCTGCTGTAACTGTGGTTTGTTCGATCCTACTGTATTAGCACATGTATGTATATTGTTCCTGGTGTATGATATTGTAGATAATGTAAGATAAACCACCATTTGCTATAGACCATTGTTTACTATGTTTACTCCTGGGTTATCTCGCACAATAAAACCGTGCATGCTCTGACAAATCTTATGTTTTTCCAAATCATAAGTGCTTAGTAAACAACGTGTTGCCTGGATCCATTTGTTACTCAATAGTACATCTTCCTCAATATAAATCTGTCCAATACAACAGGGCTTTTCAACATTTTCAGCCATTGTACCACTTTTAGGATATGGCAATATCCGAGTATCACCAGTCGCCTAGCAAGGTGTCAAAAACTTAATGACCCCCCAAAAAAGGAAAAAAGTGATAAAGTACAGGTCGTCCTCGACAGTTCGCTTAGTGATTGTTCGAAGTTACAATGGCACTGAAAAAAGTGTCCCCCAAGGCACAGCCGAGCAAGACACCTGCCTGCCCACCTGGCCGCGCTCTTCCTCCTGTCCGAGGTTTTCATTGTTGTGAGCATTTCTGTTGAGGATTGGCAGCGGGGGTGGGGTGGGGGGTGTTTGGTTTTTATTCCCCCCGTCTGCTGGGTGGTTGCAGCAGATTTTGGTCACTTCACATGACCCTGGCACACTGTGACCATCATAAATATGAATCAGTTGCCAAGCATCTGAATGTAAATCACAAGACCCTGGAGAGGCTGCAACATTCCAGCTGATGAGCACTTCTTCTGGGCTCAGCAGAAGCACCAGGATCAGCCCTGAGCTCCAGCTGATTGGTGCTTCTTCAGGGCTCAGCAGAAGCATCAGGATCAGCACCGAGCTCCAGCTGGAGCCTGGCGCTGATCCTGGTGCTTCCACTGAGCCCTGACAGCCCTGAAGAAGCGCCGATCAGCTGGAAAGTGGCACTGATCCTGGGATTTCCGTTGAGCCCTGACAGCCCTGCAGCTCCAGCCGTCTCTCGTTCAGACTTGTGCGGTGCTGCCACCAGTTCAGCTCATTCCCCTCCCGTGCTACCACTTTCCTAGGATGGTCCCGTACCACCTGCCAGGTGCCAATGTACCACAGGTGGTATCCTTACCATTGGTTGAAAAGCCCTGCAATACAACACAATCCAGTGCTTTCTTGATCCTCTCTTCTTCCAGTAAGATTTCTTCATTTTTCTCACCCTATACATATACAATTCTTACTACTGTTAATATATGTAAGATCCTCATCATACTTTTCTAGCGTTATACATAATAATAACAGTATTTGTTTATAACATCTTTTCTAGCCAACAGAATGGCCAGTTTTGAAGGATGGCTGCTCACTGTACCTTAAGAACATCTGAGGTCTCACGGGTGGTCTGTCTTGAGACAGACCTTCAACACTTCCGCTTTATCTTTTGCAATTTTTAATGCTGTTTTGTGGTTCTGCCATAAAGATCCTTAGTATGAATTGAAGGGGACCAGAATTCTGAAACGCATTAAAGAAACCAACGAAATAATTCTCTGTCTTCTTTTCCCTAGGTTTCTTCCGAAGGTTCCGTCTTAAAGCTGTCCAGTCCAGCAAGGCTTGCAATCTCCCATCCACGTTTACCTTTGCGGTGCCTATAGACTCTTCCACTAAGGAGACCTTGCCTTTAGCACTTCAGGTTCGCAGCCCAGGTAGGACTACCCAGAATGGGAGCGTAATTATTTATCTAATTTCTATACCCACCCATCACGTTTGCGCGTCTCTGGGCGGTTTATAAGTCCAACAATAAAAACCACACAAAGGCCATAGTTAAAAACGAAAGTTAAAAGCCAAATCGAAACAGAGTGAATAAGAACAAGTGCAGAGTTAAAAGGCAGAGGAAGCACTTTCAACCCACCCAACCACCCTCAGGGTTTATTTATTTATGAGACTTATATACCGCTTTAAGTGCAAGCACTCTCTAAGCGGTGTACACCTGTAAGCAATGTATATATATATTTACATTGCCCCCAACAATCTGGGTCCTCACTTTACCTACCCCGGAAGGATGGAAGGCTGAGTCAACCGTGAGATTTGAACCGCTGACCTGCTGAACACAGTCAGCTAAAGTGGCCTGCAGTACTGCACTCTAACTGCTGCGCCACCTCGGCTCTTATAAGGGTTGCAGGTACTCTTAGATTCCCCAAGCCAGATGGCAGAGCTGGGTCTTGATATTCTTCCAGAAGGCTAGGACAGTGAGGCACTGCCTCTCCTCCGGGTGGTGGGGGGAGAGGCGGACAAGATGCTCCATAGGGCAGGGTCTCTGGCAGACAAAGCTCTCTTCCTTGATCCCACCAGTCGAAATTCATATCATATCTTCCTTGCCTGGCTGAAAAATTGCACTATAAGCATTGAAGCAGAATCCGGAGAATTCATTGTATTATATGATATTTAAAATTAGATGCACATTTTTAATTCATTTCTCTCTCCTCCCTCCCTCTCTCTCTCTCTCTCTCTCTTTTGAAGAGATAAAACAATTCCTTTTTTAAAAAAAAAAGATTTATTTTCTAATTTTACATTTAAGTATTTAAAAAGCAACATGGCGGCTGGGTTAATCGATAATTCAATGATATACAAGTATCTTTAGTACAAGTCTCAAACTACCACGTTAAATATTTCCTCTTTTCCCCTTCGTATTTGCTGTCTCATGTTTAAACTAATACAATTCTTATTATATCAATTAAATAAAAATAACATTCTTACATTTATCAATAATTTTTAACTTATGCATATCCTGGTTATTTTAACATTCAATCTTTATAGACAATCAATGTCCTAATTAGTTTTTCCCATTTTTTAGTTTCCCATTAATTTTTAAATTTAACATTTAATATTTATAATTTCCAAATTTTAACTAACCAAAGTTCCCTTTATCACAATTCATCACAAAGTCTAATATTCAGGATACACGTCTTGGGATAAAACAATTCCTATTTACCGAGATTCAGAATTACTACAATCTAGAAGAAAAGACAGATAGTCCTCAAGTTATGACTATAATTAAGCCCCAAATTTTTGTTCCCAGGCGAGACATGAGTTTTGCCCCATTTTACGACTTTTCTTGCCACACTTGTTAAGTGGATCACCAGTGTTCCTAAGTAAATAAGTGAATCTGGCCTCTTCATTGATTTTGCTTGTCAGAAGATCACAGAAGGTGATCACATGACCCCGGGACACTGCGACCGTCATAAATATGAATCAGTTGCTAAGCGCCTGAATTTTGATCAGGTTACTATAGGGATGCTGCAGTGATTGTTAAGTGTGAAAAACGGTCATAAGTCACTTATTTCAGTGCCATTTTAACTTCGAACAGTCACTAAATGAACTGTTGTAAGTCAAGGACTACCTGTAAGCTATTTCTCCTATTATCTGTGACACAAACAATGGCATAAAGTAGATCGATGGTTCCGGGATATTGGTATTGTCCAGCAATTCCAGTTTTTCCTCCTTTTTGTAATTAGTTGCATCACAAATAAACTTTTATTAAATTCTTATTAACAAATAAATGGAAACAAACTTGATCAGTTCTATAATTCAGTAATTTTGGACACTGGGCATAGCAAATTTATAACTGGAAAATTCCTTCAAAATGTTAAGCTAGTTTCCTCCCCCCCCCCTTTTTGTTTTTGACTCTCGTTTGCTCATTTTATTAAAAAGGCCCGGTCTTTTTTGCTTGAGCTTTTGCTCGTGACAATATTTGCTACCTTAACCTCTAACTAAAGAACAAAGGATTGCTTTTGATCTCCAGAATTTTAAAAAAAAAAAACAGTCTTCTTTAAGACACATAAATATTCATCGCTGAAATGCTAGCACAGAGGTGGCGAACCTATGGTACGGGTGCCAGAGGCAGCACTCAGAGCCCTCTCTGTGGGCATGCACATCGTCACCCCAGTCCTAGGCCTTCAGCTGGGTTTTATAAAACCTTTTTGCTTTAGGCCTCCGCCACCATGTGCAAAAAAAAAAAAAGGTTCAATCAATCAATTTCAACTTCTCGCAGAAAGAAAAGTTCTTGCAAAGTTGGAATTGATTGAACTTTTTAGTCCCATCCAGTCTGCCGTTACCACCGCAGCCCTGCCCATCCTATGGGCCACACCCACCCAATGAGCCACGCCCAGCCAATGGGCCACACCCACCCGGCACTCAACGATGCATAAGTGGGTTTTGGGTTGCAGTTTGGGCACTCGGTCTCTAAAAGGTTCGCCATCACTGTGCTAGCAGGATAGCCGGAAATACGTCTGATCATCCTGACTCTGCTTTCTCCCAGACGGCGTAAACAATCGTCAGAAAGGGTCCCGTTTATTCAATCAGCGTCATCAGAGTTACTCGCTAAGCCTGGGGCAGAGGCAGGATTCACAGGACTTGGATGACGCTCTTGTTCCTGCAGGTACACACCTCATCGGTTTAATTTGAAATTACATGGGCGGCACAGTGGCTCAGACGTTAAAGATGCTGAGCTTGTCAGCTGGAAAGCCGGCAGCCCAGGTTTAAGACCCGAGCGCCGCACGACAGGGTGAGCTCCGGTCCTCAACTCTAGCTCCTGCCAGCCTAGCAGCTGAAAAGCATGCAAATGCAAGTAGATAAATAGTTACCGCTTTGGTGGGAAGTTAAACAGCGTTCGGTGATGTCCTGTCGGCCACATGACCACAGAAATGTCTTTGGACAGCGCTGGCTCAATGGCCTCGATATGGAGATGAGCACTGCCCGGGTGGCGCAGTGGTTAGAATGCAGTATTGCAGGCTAACTCTGCCGACTGCCATCAGTTCGATCCTGACAGCCTCAAGGTTGACTCAGCCTTCCATCCTTCCGAGGTCAGTAAATTGAGGACCCAGATTGTTGGGGACAATAGGCTGAGTCTGTAAACCACCTAGAGAGGGCTGTAAAGCCCTGGGACGTGGTATATAAGTCTAAGTGCTTGTCAACGCTGCTAATATTGAATATTCTTGCTTTGACAAAATATGCAGAACTGTCTGGTATTTTTAGAGTTAAATCAGGTGACAGGGAAAGGGGAGGAGAATTTAAGGAAAGCCCAGGAAAAAGAAAGGGAAGTGAATCTTTGCCCTCCGAGTTAATTGGAAGATGTGAATCATGACTCCAAAATAGGGGAGGGGAAATGCCTGGAATGTTATGTGCAAAGGAAGGGAAATTCAGACCTTAGCAGTTCCACCATGCCGTGCTGACATCTCTGTAACACTAATAAAGGCTTTTTAGGCTAAAAAAATGCCTGAAAGTTCTTTGAAGTGTTTCATTAATCAGACATATGACAGTGCTATTGCTATTGTTATAGTTGGCAATGACTAAGGGAGTAAAATCCGCAGAGATTCTTTAACCTTTAAGATTTAAGATAACCTTTATTGTCATTTTTTTACTATGGGCACAATGGCACACATCAAAAATGAAATTTAGTTGCCCGCTCTCAAAGTGAAACACATACATGACGCACACCTAAACATACTATGAACAACATATGTGTAGACCCACATCCCTACGTATACGTAGCAAATAAATATTAAGTACTGTCCATCTTGAATATATAATGGAAAGAGGAAGCTTGAGAGTTCGCAAGGTTAATGCTGTATGGAATGAAACTAGGGCTGAATCTGGATGTTCTGATTCGGATACCACGGAGCCCCCTTCTCCCAGAAGGAGGATGTGTCGTGTCCCAGATAATCTTACGGACCCTGCTCAAGCAACACTTCTGTGCTATATCCCGGATGGGAGAGAGGGAACTGCCAATGATCTTTTCGGCCATTCTCACCACTCTCTGCACCGCCTTCCTGTCTGAAGCAGTGATGCTTCTAAACGTATTACACGTGTTAACATGTATGCGAACATGCTTGGGGAAAAAACAAAGTAAGAGAGTGTTAATCAAGCTTTTAACATACACAAGTGCTTGTGCTAGGACTTCCTGTTTTGGTTTAGCAGGTTGCATGAACCCAGCCAGTAAGTGCACATCAGCAGAGGGAGGGGCAGGAATGCAGCTCAAGTAGCCAGGGGCTTAAAAAAAAATGTCCAGAAGGTAGGAAGGGATGTGTGGATGAAACTTAGCTCTATTCTTCTGAGTTTCATCCAATGGGCCTTGTGCACATTTTGTAGTTATCCCTACTTCCTTGATCCAATGAATTAGGTGAATATGCTGGCTTGGTAATGTGGCAATTATAACCCAACATATTTGATTGCTACCTCTTTTTAAATGTGAATTTATCTTTTAGCTTCACTGTGGAACAATTCTTTTAGCAGTTTTTCTGCAAGCCCTCTGATCTGCTAAGAATATTCCTTTTCCCACCCTTTCCCCAGCAAATCGCTCTGGGGTGGGCATCACCCCTATCATTATGCCTCAAGTTTTAAAGCCTCCTTCTGCTGTAGCTAAATTCTGGAAAAAAAAAAAAAAGTCTGTTTCTACCTTGTTCCTATTTATACTCCCGGGAGCGAGAAATAGCTGTGCTTCCCAGCAACTGCACGTAGCAACACAGGTGCTGGGAAACGGCAAGTGATTAAAACTGGGAATGTTGGATGAGCTGATCGGGTGAGCCGTTCTGGCCCAGTCTGCACAGAAGCCAGCCTGTATTATTTTAGCTCTCTGCAACAAGGCAACATGCTTGCTGAGTTCACACAACCTATCTAAGCCAAAACCACACTAGAAAGCCACTGTTGCCAGGCTCACATAATAGGCTGTGCCCAAATTGTGTGGGTTATTGATCTAGGTCAGGGGTAGGCAACCTGGGCTCTTTTACGACTCGTGGACTTCAACTCCCAGAATTCCTGAGCCAGCATGGCTCAGCTTGGAAACCTCTCCCTTTCCCCTCAGCATGGCTGGCTCAGGAATGCTGGGAGTTGAAGTCCACGAGTCATAAAAGAGACTTTAAAATGGTGGGGCTTCAATTCCCAGAATTCGTTAGCCAGCTTTGCTGGCTGGGGAATTCTGGAAGTTGAAGTCCATGCATTTTAAAGCGGCCAAGGTTGAGAAAAATTGATCTAGATAATACCTTATGCTAAAACATTGGCTGAATTCCTTCTCACCAAAAAAAGTGCTAAGCCACAAAGTACTCAAATTTCCCATTTAACCTAGCTGAACAATTCACAAACATTTTGGCTTTGGGACACGTTTCCATTCTTAAAATCACTGAGGACTCCAAAGTTTACGTGAGCTATATCTATCAATATCAATCTATCGGTTTAGACAATTAGTTGTATCTATCGATATTTATTGTATTTGAAATTAAAACTGAGAAATTTAAAAATATGCATTCGACTTTGTGGGGCCCCTGAAAGAGTCTCAGGGACCCGCTCTCTTTAGGAACTCCTAGCCCAGTTTATTTTTTAAAAAAATATTTTTGTCCTGCTTTCTTGGAAGAAGCTCCTGAAAGAGCACAAAAAACCACAACCAACTTGATAGCTATCACAAAACACACTGACCAATGTCCTCCTCTCAGCTTCAATACAGCACATCAATCACTGAATCCTACTGTGATCTGATTGGCTCATTGCCAAAACAAGACGACACCTAATTGGCTCTCTAAATACTCAGGCTCATTGGCTACAATCAGATGAAGGAAAGCTGCCTGATATCAACCTAAGCAAGTGGTGCTTCCTTTTTCTGGTTGTTTGGCTATAACTTTTCACAGAAAAAATAATTGAACAAACTATGTTGCATTACATTCTTGATTATATATCTTTCCATTGATATATAATTTTATGGTACTACCCCCCAAAAAAAGTGGTGTTATTAATTATCAAACCTCAAAAATACACTTTTCTTCCCAAAAGGTTTCCACAATTTTGGCCATTACTATATATCAACCTCAAGCTCACTCTGCCATGTCTGGCTGTTCCTTGAACTTTGATGCACTTTGACCTCTGATTTCCAAGCACTTCTGATCTTCTCTTGGGCAAAAGTCAATTCCAACTTTCTTAATTTTACTGCTGTCCAAAATCTTTCCAGTAAGAGAATAGGCTGAACATCCTGAGAACATCCTGTGTTTTGGCAACGGATGCCCACTTAACACCTGCATCTTTCTTTGCTTCCTAGAACAAGAAGTTCCTCCTTCGCCAGTCAGTGTTTCTTCAGCCACACAAGCCAGGCCGAGCTGTCCTAGTGGTAAGCCTTACTCACTATGGAGTCTGGGAAACAAGGAAGATCTGGTAGTCCGTGTCCAGGGTTGTATTCAGGTTTCAAGCTTTGGTGTCCAAAATTAATAGAACAGAATTAGAATTAGAATTAGAATTAGAATATGGATTAGAATACTTTATTGGCCAAGTGTGATTAGACACACCATGAATCTCAGTGTACATACAAAGCAAGAGGGTAATATACTATACATATACAGAATAATGTATAGTAATATCATTATTACTATACATAATGATATCAATAAAAGGGGGTAGTACTTGGATAATACCCAGATAATACTCACCTCTGTATTTATCAAATGTCCTTGTGAAGCACTAATCAAGGAGAGAAGCAACCTAGAATTAAGGAGGAATTTCCTGACCGTTAGAACAATTAACCAGTGGAACAACCTGCCTCCAGAAGTGGTGAATGTTCCAACACTGGAGGTTTTTAAGAAGAGACTGGAGAGCCATTTGTCCGAAATGGTATAGGGTTTCCTATCTGGGCAGGGGGTTGGACTAGATGACCTTCAAGGTCCCTTCCAACTTTATGATGATGATGATGTATGCTTTTGTAAAATTGGAGAAGAGTATGAGGTTGGGTTTCACAATTCCTACTAAGTCAGGTTTATTTGTATTTTTATTTATTTATATCCCGCTTTTATTTTTTTTATAAACAATTCAAGGTGGTGCACATATGTAATATACTCCTCCTTCCTCCTTTTTTCTCCCACATCAACCCTGTGAGGTGGCCTGGGCTCAGAGAGAGTGACTAGCCCAAAGTCATTCAGTTGGCTTTCATGCCTAAGGCAAAACTAGAATTCACCCTCTCCTCCTGGTGATTGGCCCAATGTCACTCAGCCGGCTATCATGACTTAGGCGGAACTAGAACTTACAGTCACCTGTCCCAAAGCTGCTTTTTCAAAAGGCACCTGGAGCTTTTGTTTTTGTTTTTTTCCTTGAAGACGTTTTGCTTCTCATCTAAAATGCTTCTTCACTTCTTCACTTCTTCAGAACTGAAGAAGCTTCTTGGACAAGAAGCGAAATTAAAAAAAAGAGAAAGTCCAGGTGTCCTGGTTCCGACAGATGAAACTCTTCAAAGAACTTCAAGGCATTGTTTACCTTAAAGAATCTTTATTTGAATAGCATAGCATCGGCATGGTCGAAGCCAAAATCTGAATTCCCCTCCCCTGGGCACATAGTATCAAAACACAATTCCCTCCTCTAATTTACAGTCATAAATCACATTATCCAATTAGTTTGAAATGCAGGCTTTCCCTCCAGTTCTCCAGCCCGCCATTTCTTATCATCTCTTATTTCAAATGACCTTGAATCACACACTACTACGATATTGTTATGTCTAATTCCCATACACATTCTTCTTCTTCCCCCCCCACCCAGTATCATCTAATTCTAACTCTAAGAGTAACACACAAATTAAGGAAAATGGCTGCATCTCCATATGTTGTCAAAGCAAGAACATCTGATGTTAGCAGCGTTGACACCAGATGCCTTTTGAAAAAGCATCTTTGGGACAGCCCTGACCTGGATGACTTAAGACTCTCCATAAATACTCAACAGTCTCCTGGCTTTCTAGCCTGGTGCCTTTACCACTAGACCAAATTGGCTCTCCAGGTTAACTCCAACATTCTCATTTTAATCTGGGTGTATTGAGGAGGACAGTAGGCCAAGTCACATACAGCCTTGCATTTTTGGTGTACACCCGAGGGATGAGTAAGCAAAACCAGATAAATCACGTGACACCTAGAGTCCAGATGGATATGCTCGGGAGCCCTGCACCTGTTTCGCAGCCCTCATGTCTCTCTCTCTCTCTCTCTCCCTCCTTCCCTCCCTCCCTCCCTCCCTCTCTCTCTCTCACTCTCACTGCATAGGACCCAGCTCCAGTCCTTCTCCTGTCTCTGAAGGCTCTTTGAAGTCAATTGAGAGTTTCCTAGGCCGCAGGTGAGTCTTTCAAAGCTACCTCGCCTCTCCGGTAGAGGAGCCATTTGGGTGGGCTTGAATGGGGCAAAGAGTTGTTCGGCAGAAAGATCTTTCTTTGATCGACACTGGAGCAAAGCGTCAGTCTGCCCATGATGGCTGAATAGTAGTAACTGTGAGAGGGATCTCAGGAGTCCTAGCGGACAGTCACTTAAATGTGTGAGCCAGCCGTGTGCTGCAGCTGCCAAAAAAGCCAACACGGTCCTAGGCTGCATTCACAGAGGGATACAATCAAGATCACGTGAAGTGTTAATACCACTTTACAATGCCTTGGTAAGGCCACACTTGGAATACCGCATCCAGTTTTCGTCACCACGATGTAAAAAAGATGTTGAGACCCTAGAACAGTGATGGTGAACCTTTTAGAGACGGAGTGCCCAAACTGCAACCCAAAACCTACTTATTTATCACCAGGTGGGTGTGGCCCACTGGATGGGCGTGGCTGTGATGGTCATGGCAGATTGGGTGGGTGTGGCCAAGCTGGCCATGATCACCTTGATGTTGTTCATGGGGAGGGACGCCTGTGAGGGCGGGGCAGGGTTGGGGGAGATCCAGGGGGTTTCTGGCAGGTGGGGCGATGGGAAGAAGGCTTGTCCTGCGGGATGAGGTGAGGCAGGGCGGCGGTGCCATTCTCACAGGGCGAGGCGAGGCAAGGGCCAGGGTGGCTGCTGCTTGACACCATTGGCCCCCGCACACAGAGGCCAGCGAGCGCAAGGGTGCTGGGATGCATCTGGCCACGTGGGACCTCGGTGAGTTAGCAGGCAGCTGGTTGAGGGACGGTTGCCATCCCTGGGGCATGGCGTGCGTGCCCACAGAGAGGGCTCTGAATGCCGCGTCTAGCACGCGTGCCATAGGTTCGCCACCTGTACTCTGTACTCTAGAAAGAGTACAGAGAAGAGCAACAAAGACGATTGGGGGACTGGCGGCTAAAACATGACGGAACAGTTGCAGGAACTGGGCATGGCTTTCATCCATTGCCTTTGCCTGGCTGGTAACTAAGAAAGGGAAGGCTAACTTACATGCTGTTTAGGCAAGGAGACTACAGTTCTACTGGGGCCTGATCAGGCAAGGTGGATTTTGTCTTTGCAGACTCAGTGGCCAGTGGAGACGCCACGGCTTAGCTTTACGCCCACAGTGCCTGAGCCCAGAAAGCGAGCTGTCCTCAGGTTGCGACAGTGCCATTCACGACTACCTCCCCCTGGTAAGACCTCTCTCTCCACTTGTGCGCTTGTTAACCCAGGAGTGTAAGCCAATCAAGCTCTGTCCTTTTTTTTTTTGCTGGACTTCGGCTTGAGATTAAAGTCTTTGCCTTCCCACCCGATAATGAATGGGAACGGTGCTTTGGAACTGCTTATCCCAGTGGTTCTCAACCTGTGGGTCGGGACCCCATTTGGGGTTGAACGACCATTTCACGGGGGTCACCAAACAACGCAGTCCGCCATTTTTTCCCCCTTTTCCTTAGCTGTGCTACTCCCTTTTATTCTATTGGCTTTTGAAAGCCAATAGAATAGACTCTCTTGAATAGAGTCTAATTCTATTGGCTTTCAAAGCCAATAGGAATTGTCCAGGCTGTCTCTGCCCTGCTGAGCCCGCCAAAAGTCCCATTCTGCAAACGGTGCTGCACCAGTTGAGTAGTCCTCCACTTACGACCGGTTGAGTAGTCCTCGACTTACGACTGGTTAGGGGTCGCGGCATTAAAAAGGTTGAGAACCACTGGCTTATCCCTCTTTAGAACCCAGGGCAAAGTTGGGCTGGGCAAAATTCCTGAAATTAAAAGAGGTCCCGGCACAGGCAAGCTCCCTAAATTCTTGTGACTTAATTCAAAAGGGAAGCTGGGGACCTTTGGAGCTCTCTGAGCTTGACTGCTTTCTTGCAGACGTTTCATGACCAAACTAGGTAACCTCATCAGTGCTAGTTAGAGGCGTGGAATATATCCCACTCACTTCTAGCACTGATGACGTTCCAGGTTTGGCCAGGAAACATCTGCACGAAAGCTGCTAAAGAAGTTGAGATGTGCATAAAACAAATTAATAAATAAACCAACCAAGCTCAGAGAGCACCAAGGAGCCCAGAGTCCAGCCGAGCTACAGATGTTCTCTTCTGTCGACACCTCCCCAGGTGCAGCTGCAGCAAGCCCCAGGCCTGGTCCACCTGAACGAGGCCTTCTCGGAAGCGGTGCAGATCCCCCTGGACCGCTTGTGCCGGGCCTCCCCTTATCCCTCCCACCGGGCCAGCCTGAGCCCTGCCTCCAGCACCTCTCCGTGGGCTTTGATCGCCAAGAATGCCCCAAAGCCACCAGCAAAGCAGCCTCCCCCGGAAGCCGACGAAGTGGGAGTCAAAGCACAGGGGATGGAGCCGGATTCCCCACACTCGCCCAGCACCTGCTCAGACGTTCTGAGCGCCGTCGTGTGGGCCCAGGCGGACAGCGGCCGGGGCTCGGAAACCGACGTCTGCGACCATTCGCCGGACGCTTCGGAAGCCAGCCTCAGCCTGCAGGAGGCCGGGTGGGAGGCCGAGGAGGGCGATTTAGAGAGCACGAGCTGGGCCACCGCCGTGGCCCTGGCCTGGCTGGAGCATCGTAGCGCCGGCTTTTTTGTGGAATGGGAGCTGCTGGCAGCCAAAGCGGATTCCTGGCTGCGTGGGCAGCCGCTGCCCGAAGGCCTGGACGTGGCTGCTTTGAAAGGAGCAGCCCGCCAGCTTTTCCTGCTGCTCCGCCACTGGGACGAGAATATCAAGCTGAACATGTTGTGCTACAACCCGAATGACGTGTGACGAGCAGGCGAGGCCAATAAAGATGGTTCTGGAATCCAGAGTCTGTATTGCCGACGAGGTTCTTTCAACCGGCTGGGGGAAAAAAATTACGATTTTGCTGATGGTGGAGAGCTTCAAAAAAAAACAACCACCCAAGACTGTATGGCCATTCCCACTCTGTCTGCCGCGTTGCTAAAGGTGTATAATCAAGGTACAGATAGTCCTCGACTTACGGCCACCATTGACCCCATTTCCATCGCTAAGTGAGACCCTGGTTAAGTGAGTTTTGCCCCATTTTACGACCTTCCTTGCCACCGTTGTTAAGTGAATCACTACAGCCGTGAAGTTGAGTCTCACGGTTGTTAAGTGAAGCTGGCTTTCCCCCATTGACTTTGCTTGTCAGAAGGTCACAAAAGGTGACCACGTGAGTTAGAGACACGGCAACTGTCACAAATAAGAACCATTTGCCAAGGGTCCGAATTTTGATCAGGTGACTGTCGGGAGGTTGCAACGGTTATGTGGAAAACGGCGATAGGTCCCTTTTCCCCCCCAGTACAATTGTTAACTTCAAAACGGTCACTAAACAAATGATTGAAAGTCAAAGGACTGCCTGTTTTCAGGGACGAGGAGGGGATTAGGATTACTTCACTGAAAAAGCGTCCACTCTCGGCAAACTGCCCACTGTGTGATTTTGAACAGAAAGATTTGTATATGGTATCTGTAGGCTTGACAGCCTAAAGCAGAGACATCACCCTGCCAACAAAAGTACGTATAGTCAAGGCCGTGGTTTTCCCAGTTGCAATGTATGGCTGAGAAAGGCTGAGCGCCAAAGAATGGAGGCCTTTGAACTCTGGTGCTGGAGAAGACTCCTGTGAGTCCCCTGGACTGTAAGGCGATCAAACCGGTCAGTCCTAGAAGAGATCAACCCCGACTGCTCTTTAGAAGGCCAGATCCTGAAGTTGAAACTCAAGTACTTTGGCCACCTAATGAGAAGGAAGGACTCACTGGAGAAGGGCCTAATGCTGGGAAAGATGGAGGGCAAGAGAAGAAGGGGACGACAGAGAATGTGGTGGCTGGATGGAGTCACTGAAGCAGTAGGCCTGAGCTTAAATGGACTCCAGAAGATGGTAGAGGATAGGAAGGCCTGGAGGAACGTTGTCCATGGGGTTGGACTTCGCAACTAACAACAAGGCTTGACAAGCACAGTGGAAAAGATCACCCTAAAAGGAGCTACAGTTCTTTTTAGCAGTCAGCCCAACCTGAAAAATTTGTCGAATGGAAAAAATTTGTGACTACGACACACGTTAGCCTTCAGAGAATATAGGAGAGCCTCCAGGCTGAGCCACATCAGTGACCCAGCTTACCACATCTTTCTCTTTCTGATGACCCACATCTTCTGAGCCTTCATCCAACTCTCCCAACAGGACCCTAGAAGGATGCCGGAGTTCTTCCGAGAATCTCTGCCTTTGAAGGTGACTTCATGATCCAGTCTTTGTTTAGTTTCCTGACCAGGACACAGTGTGTCATAAAGAGCAATTAGCTTCCTATTACAATGCCGGTAACCCTTTTTTAGCAATTGCCTCAGGTAGCACTATTTGCAAACGTGACAGTAATAAATGGCATCCTCTTCAGTCAATGTGCACATTTACGACAACAAAACCCTTTGGTTTGAAACTGATTAAGACCTAGTCAGTTTCAGGCATCTTCTCCAGCTGGCCAGAGATTTCTATTCAACTGAGATCACAAAGTTCAACCCAACTTAACTCTTAGCACTTATTCAGAGAAACCAGGGATAGGCAACCTTGGCTCTTTTATGACTTGTGGACTTCAACTCCCAGAATTCCTGAGCCAGCATGGGGAAATTATGGCCCCTTCATGACTCGCAGACTTCAACTCCCAGAATTCCTGAGCCAGCTTGGCTCAGCTTGGAAACCTCTCCCTTTCCCCTCAGCATGGCTGGCTCAGGAATTCTGGGAGTTGAAGTCCACGAGTCCTAAAAGAGCCAAGGTTGCCTACCACTCCCCTAAGCTGTGAAGAAAAGCAGTTCAGGAACAGAGACCTAGTTTACGTAACCTCTCTCCATCTCTGACTCGTGTATTCATTTAGTGACCTTTTTACTTAATGACCAAGTTGGACTCGGAATTTTCCGCTGTCCTGGGGCTGTTCAAACACGGACTGGCATGCTAGGAAAAAGCGGTAGGCCTGTTACACACTTAGACACACACACACACAGAGAATTTTCAAGTCATTCCAGCACTTCTGCAGCAGCCCCACCCTGAACATTAACTTGTCACTGAATACAAGGAAGCCTTGACTTAACAACAGTCCGTTTAGTGACTGTTCAGAGTTACAACGCCACTGAAAAAAGTGACTTATGACCGTTTTTCACACGACCGCTGCAACCTCCCCACAGTCACGCGATCAAAATTGGGAAGCCTGGCAACTGGCTCTTATTTATGACGGTTGCAGTGTCCTGGGGTCATGTCCCCTTTTGCGACCGTCTGATAAGCCATGTCAACGGGGAAGCCAGGTTCCCTTAACAGACGCGTTGCTAACTTAACAACTGCAGCGATTCGCTGAACAACTGTGGCAAGAAAGGTCGTAAAATGGAGTAAAACTCACTTAAGAAATGTCTCACCTTTGGGCTCAGTTGAGGTCATACGTTGAGGACTACCAGTACTACTAGAGCAGAGGTGCCCAACTTTGGCCACTTTATGACTTGTGGACTTCAACTCCCAGAATTCCTCAGCCAGCCCTGAGGGCTGGCTGAGGAATTCTGGGAGTTGAAGTCCACAAGTCATAAAGTAGCCAAGGTTGGGGAGCCCTGTATACTAGAGGGCGCAATTTGCCACAGGGCATCTTACAAAAACCTTCCCCTGACTTGTCACAACTCGTGGTAAAGAGTGTTTGATCCACATTAAAAAGTCAACAACTCCAGTTTAGGGGGGGAAAAAAAGACAGACTTTGGAGGATATCCCATCCTATGACAATATATACATTGCAGCCATGGGAAGCCTCGTATCAAACCATGTACTGTCCTTTATTCAGAATATTCCACATTATCTTTGGTATGGCGATAACCTCTGTCAATTCCCACTCCGCGCCACCATTCAGCCACCGGGAAGGGAAGGCCGTGGGTCACCTCGTGCATCAGGCAGATTTACCAACAGCCCTTGTCAGTTGACTTCAGCAACGTCCAATCTTAGTCCCAAGTTGTATTGTCCCTCTTCGGAGTCATTTTCATTCCATCTTTTTCAACGGCTGCTTCTCTTCCGGAGAAGACGTCGTCCCGTACCAGAGCTGCAGAAGGATGATTCCATGACACACGTGGAGAGCAGCTGAGCTGTAGACCGTCGAGGGATACGTGTTCCACGAAAGCTCAACTAAACCTAGAATAAGCACTCTGAAGCAAAACCAAGAGAAGAAAAACCACGATTTAGTTTGAGGCAGAAGCACTAAAAAAAAAAAAAAAAAGGTGACCTACCGGCTAATAGGAAAGGAAGGAATTTTCCGGTTATTCCCCACTGCGGCGAAAATATGAACCTGAATGCAAGAGAGATGAATTCTAGAAAAAGCCTGGGATTCATTGAGTGTCCTGGAAACAGGCTATTTCTGGGAAGAAATGATGTCCCTTAGACCAGGGGTCTTGATGTTCTCCAGATGTTTTTGGACTTCAGCTTCTACCACCAGGAGCGATTGTGACAGTGTGCAAAGCTTTCTCCCATTTCCTGTGACAGACTTATGGCTGTTCATGTACAGCAGGGGTCCCCAACCCCTGGTCTGTGGATCGGGACCGGTCCGCAGCATGCCAGCAACCGGTCCGAATGAACAAGCAAAGCCCCATCCGTGGGATGCAGGCAGCACACAAAACCACACACCCTCCAGTCTGCGGAAAAACCTCTCTCCACGGAACCGGTCCCCGGTGCCCCAAAAGGTTGGAAACCTCTGCCTTAGACTGTCACATGCATACAAAGGGCCTTCCTTCCCCTCCTCCCATGTTAAGCTTACAGGTAATCCTCAATTTACAACCACTCATTTAGCGACCGTTCAAAGCTACAATGGCATTGAGAAAAGGAACTTACGACCATTTTTCAGACTTACCACGGTGGCAGCCTCCCCGTGGTCACCTGATCAAAATTCATATACTTGGCCCCTCGCTCATATTTATGACGGTTACCGTCTCCCGGGGTCACGCGATCCCCTTTTGCAACCTTCTGACAATCGAAGTCAAGGGGGAAGCCAAATTCACTTAATAGCCGTGTTGCTAACTTAACAACTGCAGTGATTCACTTAACTGTGGCAAGAAAAAGTCGTAAAATGGGGGCAAAGCTCACTTAACAACTATTTCGCTTAGCAACAGAAATGTTTGGTTCAATTGCAGTCGTAAGTCAAGTCCCTTACCTGTATTTTAGGATATATATAACAGGGTTCTTTGGGTTTTCCAACTTTAAAGTGGTAGGAACAGGGCAGCCAATATCGGATCAATATCTAGATGGCCACTAGCAACTTGGGATTTTAGGCTGTCCTCTTGCCCCAAGCCCATCCTCCACACCTGCTGCAATTGCTCATTCAAGCCAGATAAATGAAGGATCACTCCCGACCACCTTGTAGCCAGGATCACACCACTCACAATTCACAAGTCACAAAACAAATGGCAGGATACATGTTGGTCATGTAGGTCAGTGTTTCCCAAACTTGACAATTTTAAGGCATGTGGACTTCAACTCCCAGAATTCCACAGCCAGCGTTGCTGGCTGTGGAATTCTGGGAATTGAAGTCCTCATGCCTTAAAATTGTCAAGTTTGGGAAACACTGATGTAGGGCATGAATATGCATTATAGGCAGGCCTTGACTTACAATCGTAATTAAGCCCAATTTTTTTTCTATTGCTAAGCGAGACATTTGTCACTTGAGTTTTGCGCCTTTTACGACCTTTCTTGTCATACTTGTTAAGGGAATCCCTGCAGTTGTTAAGTTAGTAAGACGGTCGTTCAGTGGATCTGGCTTCCCGCGTGGACTTTGCTTGTCGGAAGGTTGGAAAAGGGGATCTCGTGACCCCGTCATAAATATGAGTCATTTGCCCAATGTCCGAATTCTAATCAGGTGGCCATGAAGATGCTGCAACGCTTGTTTAAACGGCCATGTCACTTTTTTCACTGCCGTCATAACTTTGAACTGCCACTAAACAAACTGTTGTGAGTCAAGGACTACCTATACCACCACCTCTTGGGGGAAGGGAATTCTTTTGAAATCTCAGTGGCTGGATAACTGTTGATACACGTACACAAACACACACACACAGACAGACACAGACAAAAACAGACACACAAACT